CATAAATGTCTCCAATTTATTCATTACAGTATTAGAAATGGAATATCGTCAATACGTACAGATATGAGGCAGTGTATCTTAAGATAGTTGTTATAGATTGTCTTTAGAGTCTTTGTTGTTTTGAATAGGCAGGCTGAAACGTTAGACCACGGTCGTCCAACCCGTGGCCCGCGGAAGCATTTCGAGTGGCCTGCGCTGTACTTTTCAGAATTAAATAAAATAACTATTATTCGAGCGATTTAGTATGAAAAGATGTGAACAAACGAGTCGTTTATTTCCTGAAATGCGCTCTGCCAGCCCTTTCAAACGAGCCATGAGTGCCATTTTGAATCGAAACCAACTGGGAGGAGATATCGATATATAAAGCTGACGTAGTTGCTACGTACATACATAAAATCCATAATACACACATAAAAGCGAGCTACTTTGTGGCGGAAATATTCGCAAAACAATCGAAGCCGTTTTCACACTGAGAATTCGTTCAGCAATGTATTGTTAGGGTTACCAATGTTTTATGACCGGAAATAAAAGAGGAGTTTGGAAAAATAAGCCTGTCAAGACAGGCATACGATCAAACGTATCCGTATGTAGACAACGTTGAAAATCATATGCTATTGCGTACAATTTATATAAACCCATCTGTCAGCCCATTTCACTTTCACTCCCTGTATCTCAAAACATCTCTCTGAGACACTAAAGCAATGAAGACACTGGGGCTCTGTACATGTGGCATACGGCATTTGACAATAATTTGACAAAGAAAAAAATGACCTTCAGTATAGTTTGTCCAAACAAGTTATAACATGTAACAGCCTGTTTATTGATATGGGAATCGTGATGCAAATAACATATAATAAAAATGTTCACACTAGTTTTTATTTATAACCTTTGCTTTTTACAAGCTTTACTCGGAACATACAACAATTGCAACAGCGTCTTTAAAAATATAAAGTAACGTTTCTTGTTATCAGTGAAACTCATGTTTAATTAGAATATTTACCTTCATATACGAACGAATGCTTTACGTGGGAATGCTTGGATGGATATCCAATAACGATTGAAAACAGCGTGACCAAAACGAAAAAATAGGGATTTTAAACAATCTGTGGAAAACTATAGGAAGCGTAGCTTTGAAAGAATTACCATTTTGTGACGTCAACTCTTTTGACAATAATATAAACAAATTACCGTTCCAGTTGGGAATACAATCCAGTAGGGAATACAATCCAGTAGGGAATACTGCAATACTTTCAGCAGTAAAATATCATCTTTGGCTGCAATGTACAGACACGATTCTTGCGAAATGACCATGATATCTGCTTGTCAGGCTCCCTAACAATCAAATACGAATCGGAGGATCGATTGGCTCGATCGAGAAGCTCGGGGGAGTATTAAAACACGACATACAAATGACTCTCAAATATAAGTAACTTGGTAGTGCTCGTCAGCTTATTTTAAAACGATATAATATCATCCACTGGCGAATTGTGTTAGTTTTGATGCATTTAAATTCTGTTCACTTCAAGTTGGCTGGACAAAGGAAAACCGAAAGGAAATATTAAAGCAACAGTCAGACATGGGGTTTCAAAGTAAACAATACGCCGCAACTGTCTCTTCAGTCGGTGCGGCGCAAATTCTTCCTGATGGCACAATTTAAAAAGCAAAAATATTGCGACATAACAACGGGTCAGGGGAAGGTCGAAGAAAAACCAAAATCGTAAAAGTAATAACCTTACTTGTTGAGACACTTCAATATTTAAATACAGATTATTTAAAAGAGATTAACAAAAAACATAATAGAAAATATCAACATCGACAGAAATTTAGCGAATCCTCCGGTATAATAAGTCAGTTATTTCATTTTATAAATGTCTCCAATCTATTCATTACAGTATTAGGAATGGAATAAAAACAATACGTACAGATATGAGGCAGTGTATCTTAAGATAGTTGGTATAGATTGTCTTTAGAGTCTTTGTTGTTTCGAATAGACAGGCTGAAACGTTAGACCAGGGTCGTCCAACCCGTAGCCCGCAGAAGCATTTCGAGTGGCCCGCGCTCTATTTTTCAGAATTGAATGAAAAAAGTTAGGTATAACTATTATTTGAGCGATTTAGTATAAAAAGATGTGAACAAACGAGTTGTTTATTTTACTGAAATGCGCTCTGCCAGCCTTTTAAACGAGCCATGAGTGCCATATTGAATCGAAACCAACTGGTATGAGATATCGATATATAAAGCTGCCGTAGTCGCTACGTACATACATAAAATCCATAATACATACATAAAAGCGAGCTACTTTGTGACAGAAATATTTGCAAAACAATCGAAGCCGTTCTCACATTGAGAATTCGTTCAGCAATGTATTTTTTGGTTTACCAATGTTTTATGTCCGGAAATAGAAGAGGCGTTTGCAAAAATAAGCATGTCAAGACAAACAATTCTCGTCGTGTTGAAGAGCTTGGGAATTTAATGGCAGAAACTTTAATTGCAAAAGCGGGAACGTTTTAATCGTATTCCTTGACGCCTGACGGAAGCGCTGACATCAAGTCTAGTGCTCGTCATGCGGGAGTTAATGATGATTTTGAAATTAGCGAAGAGCTCGCGGCCATTGTCCCAATTAAGGGCACGACTACGGGCATTGATTTGTTGGGAGCTGTGATGAAAACGATCAAGCGTCTTGTCTTTTCTTTGGCCAAACTTTCGGGAATAACCACTGATGGCGTCCCATCAATGGCTAGGAAACAACAGTTTTATTGTTCCAATAATTGTGAAAGTTGGCTTGAGGGTATTGTTGCTTTCAGTGTAGCAAAACTAAAACATAACTACCACCATGTTATGTGGCCCGCGCACTTAGTAAGTATTAGTAAAGTGCATGTGGCCCTTCGGCCAAAAAGGTTGGACGACCCTGCGTAGGACCTTTTACAAAGTTTATGCCACAAACGACTTGTGTTGTATGCGTTTGTCAGATAAAAATCAACATGCATTCGGCAATAATTTGAGAACATATACCCACAACTTTCTGAAAAGCGATACATAATGAAAACGTCCATTGAAAATAATGAATCGTATGAATATATTTATATTTGATGACGGTGAATTCATTTACATGCAATGCTCTATTCTATGCTATGTCTTTTAATATATTCAATTGTTATTATACGGGAGCTCTCCGTAATATTGTTTTCTTGAATTTATATATATTGATACCTCTGGAATCGTTAGGAAAGGTTGGAAAATGTCTATGGTTAACCACGTTTATTAATAAAACACAAAAACGGGACCACAAACTTTATGACATTATTCGTGTGAATTCCCTGGTAATAGCAGGGGTGGTCTATCTGGCTTTCAAACACTAATTGTTTTATATTCTCAGCAGAATAACAAGACCCGGATTTGTTCCAATCGTATAGCCGCCATCTTTTGTTAGCCTCCGTAGCCTCGCGTTCAATATTTCAAATAAACCTAAATGAAGATTTCATTCTATAAAGGTGTGCGTGGGATCAGTTCCGCTTGAGTCAATTTTTCTGTTTCCGAATAAGGATAAATTCAAATGATTTGTATTTCATTTTTGATACGGTATTGCCGATCCGATCAAACCCACGTATGTTTAAGTATACAATGTTGAAAATCCTATGCTATTGTCAACAATTTATACAAACCCATCTGTGAGCTTATTACTTATCGATCTTAAGATCGGTAAGTATGTTGATAGGTATTTGTCTGTCTGTATGTCTGTGTGTTAGATGCACGCGATATCTCACGAAAGCAAGGTTGAATCTGCTCCAAATTTTGCATGTGCATTCATTATAGCTCTGATCAGAATCCTATTGATTTTGGAAGAATTATGTCTTATAATGAGCGAGTTATTAAATAATTAGTGATGGGGCACATGGTGTCACTATGGAGTAAGACCACTGTTTTTATGGGATCCCCTAACTTTCGATCGATAAGTCTTTGGTTTATAATCGATATTCTAGTTTCACTTTCACTCCAAAACTGTTGTTCAAAAAAAACGTTACAATTAGTTTAATTGTTGTGAAGCAAGATGTAGCAAAGAATACATTTTTAATATTGAAGAATTTTTAGTTTAATTAAATTTCTACAATTATTTTTTAATTTTAATTCAACTAATTAAATTTAATTTTTAAAATTATTTTCTAATAATTAAAACAGCATCTAATGATCTAATCTAATGCATAAATACATGCACAAGTCTCACGAAAAATTATGTTTATTTTAAATTCATAATTACCTTGTCATAAGGGTTACAATGTTTTTATAAAAACAAATGTATACGAAAATGTACACTGTGTCAATTCTATAGTCAAAAGAAATTGCCCAAACAATTAATGCGAAAGATTTACTGTTTGGGAACGTCATCAATGATTCAAGTGAGGAAAGCCAAAAATATCGAGAGCAACGAATCTCTTTGACCTCATTAGCAAATACAATGTTGAAAATGACGTGCTAAAATGTTTCCACTTTTTTTGTAAACAATCTAAATATTCTTACGTTCTAATGTTAGTGTAGTTATCTCTAGTACATTTATATTGTACTATATGCGTTTTGATACGATTTGAATAATTCTCTGAAATATTCTCTGAGCAACCACCACTTGGCGCCAGAGATAAGCCTCGGCTCATTTAATAGTATTTCTAGACAAATAGTATGATATCAATAACGGAAAAAACATAGAAAAAAGTTTAATATAAGTAGTATACAAACAGAATACTCTTTATATCAAGATATAACTGAGACGAGATACAATTGATATTGTGGGACGACTTGGATTTATCTACAAAACAATATGCAAAGACTTTTAGCTTTTGTGCTTTTGATTACCATCTTGCAAGAACTTTGTAGTGCCGAAGGTAATATCACGTGCAACACGTTTTAAATAGCTTCTAGCTGATGTTTATTTATAAAGGATGCACGCGTTAGTACCAGTCGAAAATCTAGATATAGTAAGAGCGGTAGCGTAGTTTGGAAGTCAGTATATGGCTTCTGGAGATACGCGTAGGTTTGAAATGGCCAAACCACCACGCCGTAGAATTTGCATTGGTCAGTACACAAGCCAACACAGCATAATAAATACACACATCAAGTAAGATTTCATTTCAGAATCATGTGGGGTACAGCATATCACTGAGTCGTCAATAAGTGGAAGAATTGTTGGCGGCAGTGAAGCTGCTCCTGGTGCCTGGCCATGGCAAGCAATGCTCGTAGAATATTACCAGGATCTCGATGAATTTGGTTTTGTATGTGGCGGCACATTAATAAAATCGCAATGGGTATTGACAGCAGCACATTGTATAAATAGGTAAGTAAGTATGCTAAAATATAAATTAGCTAGACTCATAAATTTTCACAAGATTACTTTTAATGCATGTATGATGAATTCAGATCAATTTTGCTCATCGCAGCTGTGCACAGACGGATGCTAATCATGCGCATATTTGGCCATGCCTACACCTGAAATCGACTTTTTTTTGTTAGTCTATCGTATATGACAATATTCTTTTTCTACGCAGGGATACGCCCACTACGTTCATACAGGTTGTATTAGGTGCTCATCACAAAGACTACAGCGATAGCTCAGCTAAAATATTTGCAATTGATTTTTTCTACCGTCACGAATGTGAGTTGAATAATAACATATCATGAAACGATCAACCGTACTTTCCATATGGTCGACGGACAGTTTATAATTAAAGATGAAAGTTAGTTCGAATTAATTTGCAAAGTTTTCAAATAAAAAAGTGAAAACATGCCTTATTTAAATTAAGCGTTAACGTGCAATGTACGAAACAAAATTTTTATTACTTCCTCGCCGCCGTAAGGTGGTTTACGTAACCGCTGGTCGTGCGCCTGAAATCCAGGGTAAGGTCGCTGCGCTACCCGCGAGGGGAAATGTATGGAAATATTTTTAGTAAATTTAGAAGCATATGTTTGTTTGAAGTTTGTTGGAGGACCCGGGTCGTTGCGCCGGACGAATGACGGAAATTCGTCCGGCGCTGTGCCCCCGACCACTCTAGTCCATTAAGAAGTTCAAATACCCTGTAATAAACTGATCACCCCTAACCGGAGTCGAATTTTCCCAATTTTAAGGTCCGTGATCACTCAACCGTTACGAATTTTTTCTGACATAAACTAGACCTCAACTACCTTGTATGACCCAAATATGGCACCTCTACCTTCTACCATTCTCGAGATATAACGTGAAATCACTGGAGCGTGACTGAGGAGATGGAGAAATAAAATTTCTTTCAAAATAGATTCAAATAATTTTTCTAAACATGCCCATGCCTTTACTTTCTCAACAGGTCCTTTCAGAGGCCTGCAATAAGCCAAAATCACTAGACCATGACTGGGGAGTGAGAGAAAAAAAATTTCTTGAAAAAAGCATTAAACTAAATTTTTCCAACATATCTATCTATTTTATTTCTCGATAGCTTCATTTTTAGGTGCGCAACCTTCTTACGCCACTGGAGGGCGATTGGGAGGGGAATTCCCAAGATTCAGGTGGTGAAATATTCTATATATTAGTCCCTTTGAGATTTAAGCATCACTTTGCCCAAAAACCAATTCCAAGTGCTCCTAATAGCCCAAAAACCATATTATCTAAGTGGGCGTGGCTTTCCACACGTTTTCTCACCACTGGGGGGGCGGTGGCAGTGCCCCCACCCCCAATTGCACTTGGAAAAAATCCCAATACTCGGGCAAACGCTTTTTGCCCTACGCGCAAAGTCTTTTGACCATTACTGTGCATACGCACTAAAGTGCTACACTGTTGCCTGACCATCAAGTAACTGGCTAACAAATCCTATACCCGACTTGGACTGGTAACCGGACGAGAGGCCGTGGTTCGCCATAATATTGAGCCGTTTCATCGGCTTTCATCTCCCCAAGGATAAATATGTAAATCCTATCCTATATATAGGTGCAAACGACATGTTCCTGCTCATGTGAGCTTAACTTGATATTTTAAACGTTTCGGATATATTGTTCAAATTCAGCATATATCGGTTCATTGACAACATATGCGAACGATATTTGCTTGATCAAACTCCCATCAGAAATAGAATATTCGTCGACGATACTTCCTGCCTGCTTACCGACGTCTCAAACGTACACATTGGCAGATAAAGACTCGTGTATAATTTCAGGATGGGGTGAGACGAGAGGCAAGTTTAACTAAAATTCACATTTTATGAGATTAAGTGGGAGGACCAACAGATTTGAATATGCACCGCATCCTCAATTATATCACACACGGAAATTCAAGAAGCACTAAAAATTTCTTACAGAATTTATAATACTTAATTCTACCAGATTCCGGAATATTTTTTTATATAACTATATATATATATATTTCATTTGAGTGATTCAAATATAATTTTTACTCAATGTCACCATTTACCTATTTTCAATATTGCACTGAATTCTGACAGGAACTGGATCTGATGCCATATTACGTGAAGCAACAGTAGAAATTATTCCCCAAAATTTATGTGAAACTTGGTATGACGATGCTGGACTCTCAATTCCTGACGGACATTTTTGTGCTGGGTAAAAATTTACATCTAGTATATTTTATTTTGACATTAAAAGAATTTGATCGGCCTGGATGGATCCTGGCTCCAATAAACAAAGATGCCGTTTTAGATGGTTTTGAAAATTCGAGGTTTATACGACGATTATTATACGATAATTCGAGTGTGATATCATGCCTGTTGAGATTTGGAAATTACAATGATATTCAACAATCCCTGTAAAATATAAGGCTTTTATTCCCTGCTACACGTAATCCGCACTTCAGTTCTTCTCATTTTAAACTAGATATGAAGCTGGCGGTATTGATGCATGTAAAGGAGACAGTGGTGGTCCTTTGGTTTGTCGGTCAAGTAAAGATCAACCATTTGTACTCCGTGGTATAACAAGTTTTGGTGATAATTGTGCTTTAGCACAGAGACCTGGTGTTTATACGAATGCTACGCAGTTTATCGACTGGATTGAACAAGTAACCACAAACAATGGGAATATTAATAGAGAAGGTAAACAAATGAATCGTGAATACAAAACGTCATATCTTCGATCGTCTAATAAAAGTTTTATATTTTCTGCTGTAAAATCAGGATTTCCGCCAAACATTGACTGCGAAAATAAACGCGTTACGTCGATAGTGATATTTTGCTAGTATATGATTTCAAGTTTTCGTATTTAAATTTTTATCTACGAACAAGTTTGTGGTATTTGAGACATCGGATGACAGAGTATAAGATTGTATGCGATTTTGACTTCACTGAATTTTTTAAACTTAAAAACATTTAATATTAATTTGTTTCCATTCACGATTCTTCTTCTCAAAATTGACTGAATCATTTTTAGACTCAGATAAAAAAAAATCATATTTGATCACTTTATACAAATAAATATGTAACAGATGTATGTTTTTCAACCACTTCAATCAAAAATTGTGGATCCACAGTAACAAAGAACGGAACAATACTCCGAAGTCCTGTGGTGGACACATCGACTTGGCTATATCCACCAGATTCGGTATATATTTACTATTTCCTATAAATATTTTTGTACATGGTATATTGTCATGATTTCATCAACAGAAGTTTAATAGTTAGATGCAATAGATAATATTATAAAATGTAGTAATAATACGTCTATAGATGTGAAATCAAGTCGAAAAGTACTGTATTCTGTATATACTATATTCCTATGATGCCTATATAAATGATTGCGTTCTTTCGAACGTGCTGACTCTAATTGAGAAACTCGGTTCTGCTTTCAGTTCAATAGTATTCCAGGTTGTGTATTCTAATATTAATATCATATTTATAGTATTGCATTTGGAATATTCTCGCTGATGTTGGATGGGAAATCGAGATAGAATTCATTTGCTTCTTCCATTTACAATATTTTGCTCTGTATGATTTTTGTCGAGACTATGTTGAAATTAAATCAGTTAATACAGGTAAGGCGCATTTATATGGCGTGATTCTCCAATAACATCACCATGTTGTTAGTCAAGTTGGCAAAATAATAGGAGGGTCAACAGAGAATTATTGTGTAGTTTTGTATTAAGACTTACAGTTTATTGTAATATTACATACTTTGTTCGATATATTTATGGTATAGTTTAATTTTGAGCATCTCAAGAAGTTATTGTTGTTGACCACATTAATCAAAACGATCGAAATCAGCATATTTTGTTTTATAAAGTCTTCAATCTCTCTGAACCTTCATTGTGTGTGTTCAGGGTATAGTAAAAGGTTTTGCGGATCAACAATGCCTGAACCAATTCATATTGAAAATAACGAGGCATCTGTCAGATTTTTGTCAGATGCTAGGTTAGAGTTATCTGGTTTCGTACTGCAAATAACCTTCGTCCCAGGACACCAAATGACAACAATCACTGAAACAACTTCAGAAAAATCCACTGCGAAAACGACTTCAACGGTATCGACTCAAAACGTTGACACATCCAAACCTACAACTAGATCAACCTTCATGCCCGAGACAACTTCTACAGCAGAATTTCAACATCATTTTACTTCTAAAGTAGCTGGAATGCCCCACACGACACAGGCTAAAACTACTCATGCTTTGTTAACGGCAGATAAATCATCATCTACTTCAACAGAACCTGGATTTGTTAGTACGGCACATACAACTCAAATTGCACGTCGTTTTACTTCCCGGGCAACCGAAATCGGCCACACTTCGTTGGGTACAACGACAACAGAATCCACTGATACAACTTCAATTGGTATTACACATTTAACGTCGACGAAAGTTGTCAATGCGAGATCTACTACTACAGCAGACTTTGAATTAGTTTCTTCGGCACGTACATCTCAAATTGCACGCCATGTAACTTCACAGGTCGCTGAAATTCGTCACACGTCGTTAGGTGAAACAACGCACCCTTCTTTAACAACCACAACAACAATAGTCACTGATACAACCGTACCGGGATCTACACATCTAACATCGACGCAAGTTGTCAATGCGAGAGCAACTATAATCTCTTCTAGTACTTCACGAACAACAGCTTTGGATGATAGCACAGAGCATACGCCAAGGACAACAGCGTTCAGGACTACGACATCACCAGTTGACACAGTTGAAGACACCACAGTAGTCACTGAAACGGTAGGCTCCAGTGTCGAAACATTTCCACTCGGAAAAACCTCCCGTTTGCCCACTTCAAATGAGATAACTAGTCATGGTGGTAATACACAAGTATTCGAAGATACAACCCGAACCAAAAACATGGCCGAAGTCAGTACAACGGTAGGCTCCACTGTCGAAACAATTTCACTCGAAGAAACCTCCTTTTTGCCCACTTCGTATGAGATAACTAGTCATGGTGGTAGCACGCCATCACATGAAGATACTACCCGAAATAAAGATACTACGACAATTTCTGGTGGCTCAACATTTACAGAATCCATTCCCATCACCTCCACTTATAGTGCTACTACAACTACAAGAATTACCACAACTAGTCCATCGGCCAACACTAGCCCCGAAACCCCCACTGACAAGCTTACTATTAAACCTGAGACGACACCTACAAAATATAAAACAACGGCCATTGTCACATCATCAGAATCATCAACGACACAACCTACTGAGCTAGCCGATCCGATCACATCTACTGCAATGTTCGAAAGAAGTCCCACTGCCCGAATAGCCACATCCAAAATAATTACACGAGAACCTGAAACAACTCACATATCTGAAACGCCTCTTCCTAATAGAACCACCCAACTCGTTCATTTATCCACATCTGCACCAAGTGTTGAAAACAACAGTACATCTTCAAAAGCAGAATCTAGTTTACGGAGAACAGCTGTCTCGCACTGTGAGCTCGTCATTATTCTGTTTTTTGTTGTTGTATTTATTTAATTGGATTGTAGACTCATACAAAATAAATTTAGTTGGTCCTTTTTGAAATATATATATTACAAATGACTACCGTTATGTTTAAAAGTCAGTCCTGTAGGCATGTTCAAATGAACCATGTTTTCATAAAATTAAAAAGAAAATTAACTCATTCAAATGATATGGCAATATTTAATTATGTTTTGAGCAGCAAAATTTTGACTTCAATAAAATCACGGGAAATAATTTCTTGACGTTAGGACTTTAAAATGCTACACGCTTATCTTGCTTCAAAGAATGTAAAATTCGCATGTATAATCTTTTGGGAAACACGTGGTTATGGGTATGGATAAAATGTATTTTAAACAATTTCAACACCACTCAACTTATTTTATGTTAGTTTTAAAATAAACAATAAAATTGAAGAGACCACTGAAATTGTTTTAGCGTGATGAAATTTGTGAAATTATGTATAAATTGTTTGATCTATCAATTGCGTCATCAAAATTGACCTGTACAAATATTTTTTTAAATTCCAGGCGTTGGCTTATTCACTCTTAAATCAAATTATATTATTTTGCATGTACGTGTTTTAAAGTATTGTTCAAGAAGTTCTATTGTTACGCTCAAAAGATTCATACGTTTGACTTACGTTTATGGCACCGTATGATGTTCGTATTCAGACGCATTGTTCATTTCATAAACAAATACAATAGCTTTCATATAGCTCCCAGTATATGCACACGATATGTGCATTTTCTGTGGTCTACAGTTTTACGACTGAGGCGTGGTAGGAATAAATGTATGTTTAATGGCTTTTATTCATGAAACTCTTCCTTCCATACAAATGTCAATCCATTTTGTCGTCTTGAAGGTATTTGTCAAGGTATTACTAATTCAATATTAGTCTCCGGCCAGGACATTTTACACCAACCCTTTCACTTAAATTTTGACTATACCAACTCTATGACCCCATAAAGACTTGATTTTGTAGAATTTTGATTCTAGAATTCACAGGATACATAGAATACATATATATACTAGAATTTGCAATATCAAGGTGTGTGATCTTATTCTAAAGTTTTCTTCTATTTTGTTTTTCTTATATTTTCTTTTGCTTTCTTATACTTTTGGGCTGGATCGGCTTTATCAGTACTGATTGGCGCAACATGCATTCAGAATAGGCCGTACTTGTCGGAGACATCCACATATCAGTACTTTTGGTCATTTCATCTCAATATGTATATTAAAATAGTAATCGACTGTATTTGTGCAAAGCTAATCAACATATCAGCAATATTTAAGTTCCCAATTTCTGCTAGACTACGTTTTTTGCCATCATTTCACAAATCGTATAGTAAGAGTACACGATCTTTATACCATGTAGTATTCGGCTCGTTCGTAATATTGTGCATTTTAAAAAGTGCGTTTAAAAAAGTGAAATTAGTAATTTTATATGGTTTTAATATATTGCAGTAGCAATAAAGGAAGTTGTAAAATATATCCAACTGGACAACTGCATAGTAAAGCTTCTGGCATCTGCCGTTGGACAGTCCTGCTCTTTGCAAGGTGCTTGTCTCATACCTGATTTGGTGACGTATTCATTTTCACCATCAAGGTCTGGTTTTAAAGTCACTAGACCAGCCGAGGTTGTTGTTTGTGTACTGTTTAAAGATAAGCAGGGACCAGAAGTTGTATTTTTCGCCGGTTTTGTGTCGCAGGGATTCTCAATTTCATCGACGCCATTTTTTGGACCAACTGTGGCTTGAGGTAATGTCTGTTTTGGTGTTGTTGAGATGTAGTGATTAGGATCCTTGACAAAAACAATTTTCAAAACAAAGCCCGATGATTGAACTGATGAGTCAGACTTAAATGTAACCTTGGCTTGATTGCTCCCAATGGTTATTGGGCTCAGCAGGGAGCTGCCGCAATATATAGATGTCATATCTAGAAATAGGAAATATTCGAATTTTAAGTTACTTACACAGTGATGGATTATATGCTGATGGAGAGTTATAAGCTTGTTAAAGAATCTTTTTTCGAACGCTACTTTGTATATAGCACTCTTAATTAATTATATCTTTTCAGTATGAATGTTAATAGTGGCGTATTTTTGTGTGTCCGCAAGGTTTTAAGTTTCAATAACACCTATCAATAATCGGTTCACAATGGCAGCGTAAGTAAAACAAACACATATATACTTTTATATATATTCAATACATATAACTTGGTGGAGTAATTTATCACGAAATCGTTTTATACAAATAATATGATATTTTGGCAGTATTACTAGAGATATGTATCGGTAATATATATCGGCCATTTTTTAGGTATCGGCCATGTATCGGTATCGGCTAGATTAAAGCCGATATTTCCGATATATTTACTTTTTTGATTTGATCCAGAATGTTTTAAAAGATAAGTTGAAATACTACCTTTTAATTTATTTTTTGTCTGAAGAGATCGTGAGCTATGAGCCATACATGTCCCCACCCCCGCGAGGGAATAGGATTCACCTGTTTTCAGCTATTTATCAGCCAAACTAGCTCAACTAATTTGGCTGTTTTTGCTGTCAAATTTTTATATTGACGTTTTTAATATTACATAGTATTTATGAAGAAAAATATCAACACAACACATAACAAAAAGCAACTAGGCGCCCAGTTTTAAATCATACAGTGGAATTGGAGTCCTTTTTAACGGCCTTTGGGCACGGCTATAAATTCTGAGTGTTTGTCGTTAAGTACGAGTGTCATTTAGTCCGTCGACATCTATAAACTAAGTTCCGACCCAATTTTCCCTCTACGCAGGCATTATTTTTAATTTTGTTTAACTACACAATTTCATTATAGATATATTGACATGACCAGCTAGAGCCCTATAGACTTTCTCAAAATATATGATAGCAATTGTAAAATATTATAAAATAGAAAAGAAAAAAAAAACATCTTCGACGGTTATAGGTAGGCCTTCTTATTATCGGTGCTGATTGATATTCTTTCATGTTGGCTTTGATTTATTGCGTCGACGATTACGATTAACCACAAAATAAAATATTTGTAAAATGCTTTTAATTTGAACGTAGGACGGCGGCGCTAGAATGTGTGTGCGATCTTCGATATACTTTTAAACACGAATAACGATATTCGAAGGTCGCGATATTAACATTAAATTCGAATTGGACATCCCGGCTTCCCGGAATTGGAAAGTCCCGGCTTTCTAATTGAACACCGAAATTACTAGCGGCACTGTACAATGCATCTTAATCAGTTAATGCATCTGGATACCAAACATCAATTTCATATTATGTGATATATCTCTTTTTTCGATTTGAAATAGTGTGTGTACTATGAACAACGCTTAAATATCATTGTTTTAGCCCTACACATCAGCACACCTAATTAAGTAATAATTATATAGTAACTGAATATCGGTAATATCGGTATTTTTGTGGTATCGGTATATCGGTATCGGCGTTTTTAGTTGGTATCGGTATCGGCAACAAAAGTCGGTACATCTCTAAGTATTACAAATGACTCACTTAATATACCAAATTGTAATATAAAGGCTGAAGGTCTATTGGCCATGATTCCAGTGGTTGTCGAAATAATACCTCACACTACCACGTGATATCTATGTCCAAGAGCATGGTCTTTGTCATACTTGTACTTAGGCTTGATCGGTGAAAATACCACATGAACAGCGTAGTGGGGATATTTTTAGTAGAAAGCGAGTTACGATGTTTGAAAAATTAAAAAACTTTATGCACGCCATGAGCAGAAGTACTATAAAATTTAATCGAGCTATATTTGGTTATGGAACTAGAAATGCAACGTCCTTAATGTCCTGACCGTATGAAACGATGAATCGTAAGGCAATAGCATAATACATGAGGATGAGCTATTTAATTTATAACGCGTGTTAATTGATGATTTTGTAAAATGTTAAGTATTACACATGTAGTGTCAATATTTAGTTACATCACAGCATTAAATGTTATAAACATGAATCATGGTTGCACATACGTTATTGCGGACACCCGAAAGCTATAACAGTGACAGGAAATTGTTAGTGAACATTGTAAAATCCACTTAGTAGAGATGGTACGAAAAGGCACGGAAATGAAGAAAAATATAACGGATAAACAGAGATCCACTCAAGTTCTACAAATACTTATTCATTTACTAATGTGAGTGTTTGTAAAGTGGGTAATGTCCCTTCCTAGAAATATTACATAAATTGGCCAATTTTTAACCTAAGAACATTAACTTTAAAGCATCATTCCACGTTATTACAACATATAGTTTCACGGATTCTAGATGATAAATTCTATTGATTTTATCATATCGACTTAACTTTCAGTTTTACTTGATACTTCAACAACTTGAATGAGTGAGCCTAACTAGAACTAATCCTCACGCGTTCGGAGTTTTCGTGAAACATTTTGATAATCGGTATGATTTAACTGAACAAGGCGAAATATAAAACGATATGTATTTAAAAACATACCAATAATAATATCATACTGACCTGCCTCGGCTGATGTAATCAACATGTAGTCGTAACATTCTTGAGTGTTCGACGGGTTTATTTCAACGTGAAAAAAGCATTCAAATTCTATTTTGACGAAATAACCTTTTGGGGCAGCAATATTCCATGTACAGTCCTTTTATAAATAAAATTATTACGTATATCCTTTATAATACGCCATAACTACACAAAAACTAACTTTGGAAATTCCAGAAATGAGGTATTCGCAAATTGAATAAATATTAACTCATAAAACAAATATGACAAACAATTTTGAGTTATTGTGTTACGTTTTATGACGGTCTGTTCTCGATTAGACCTATACGTCCAAGAAAGATTTCATTCGTACTAAACTAGCACGTAATCTGCTATGAGTAAGCCCACCTTTTGTACATTGAACCCAAAACGAACCAGTAAATACAAGCACGAATCTGAACAAAACATTATTTCAGTAATATGAAAAGCTGATATATATATCCAAATATTGCTTGAAAAAACACCAAGTTGCACCATAAGACTAAATATTTTTTAAAAGTGTTGTCATTACAATAATTGGATTATATCATTACCGTATTTGGTGGATACATCCATGTTTGACTGTCTGATATTGGAGTTCTTAACTTTGTTCCGCTGCGTGTTATAACTGTAGAGCAAGCTAATATATCCGATTGTAAAAAACAGCTCTCTTTCCCTTTAAAAGATATTATCTTTGGTTATTCAAGCAGTCGCGAACAAAAAACTCATTTCCAGCTAAAACTTGCTTACCTGTATACTTCGATATTTGAGTTTGAATCCATCCCATGTAGTTTGAAACATCGACGTAAACTCCAGGCCTGTGCTTGAGTGCACAACCTATACCAAAGCTTGTGATTCCAAACATGACGGTGATTTTTTGTCTTATACAAGTTAAAGGACCTCCACTGTCACCTTGGCATGAATCAACTCCACCATTTTCAAGTCTGTCACGTCATAAATTTAAAAAGTCAACATGAACAGGCGACTTGACGAATGGCAAAAAAATACATTTAAACGTTTCCAACACCGATTCTATGTATTTGCAGTGATTATTGAGTGATCCTTTGGATCCAGTAATAATCTGAGAATTAGAGGGGGTCGGAATATGTCGGTAGGAAACCTATCCAAACAATGTAATTTGAAATTTTCAACGTACCCAGCACAGAAATGATTTTGTGGTAATATAACTCCGACTTGCTTGTACCAAGTTTCACAAGCTGATTTTTTGAGTATGAGAATAGCTGCATTTTGTAACACTCTATTGCTACTGGTTCCTGAAATAATAAATTGTTAAATTTATCAGTGCGGACGCGATCCCGTGTTTCAGAGTGAAGTAAATCACTCACTGATCTACATTTTGCAAATTGGTCACTATTACCAGCTGAGCAAATATTCTAAATTAAAAATTAAAGTTGCGAGTAGTGTAGTTAAAACGAACGAACTCATTAAACCAATAATAACGATATACTCCGCTAAATCAGGCCGATTAAACATAGCTTCACACTACTACCGACACCCTACCCCTCCTTGGTTAGAATTTCATGTTGACATCTTGATTTGTTTCAATTTAATGATTTATTTTAACGAAATATATATATAATTCTTTTCTTCAATTTTTCGTCCCAGCGACTTAAAATTATCCGAGTGTTACTTGTTCAGAGATTTATATTCTATTGAATTGTATTTTCTGACAAAAATTCATATAACTGGTCTTACAAAAAATGAGCAAATACGGATTTCCATTTTAGACATTTTAACCCTTTTTTCCAGAATATGAATTTTGGATAACCAAACCTAGAATGACAATTTGACAATCTGTGATATATTTAGCATGAGTATTATTATAGATAGTTTTTTATGCAACCACAATTATTTTAACCATTCACGTCCCTCGCTTCTATAAAGTAATATTGTACCATCAGTTGTTTGAGAGGTTGATGAGAAACTGAAATGCACGTGATCTAATTTAAAGTCATTTTCCAAATTTCACATTTCTGCACAAATGAGGAAATAAATTAATAACTAACATGTGTGTAAGATAATATGTAAAAGCACCGAGATTTTTAAATAATTTTTGTAGCAAGATAAACTTCCAAATTTTCTGTTTCTGATGAAAATTGTAAAATATAAATAAATCGAACTCTTGAAGGTAGTTTGTAGTTGTATACTACGAACAAATTGGTGAATTTGATATTATGTGGTTTAAAATTAAATGTTCAAATTCAACGTTCTACCACTAACCTTGCGTTTCTCCCCATCCGGCAATTCGGCACGTTTCACCGTTTATGACATTTTGATCGATGGTTGGAAAGCATACTGGTCTGATATAGTTCGTGTATTCAACTTCTCCCGCCAGTTTGATTAAACATACATCGTCAACAAACGCATTTGACGAACCAATAAATACTGAAAAAATACCCCGAAACAATAAACAATATCTTGTAACAAAATACAGAATTATGCGAACCAAACTTACAGTGATGGCAAGTATATCTCGCAATTGCAAATCTTTTTACCGAATCGTCCTTCAGGTCTTTTTGATGAGCGCCAAGAGCGACGTGTGTGTATGAAATCGGATTACTGTGGCAAATGTAAACATAATTTAATGGGGGGAAGTATTGTATATATTTAAACAAAAGAAAAGCCCAATAATTGAAAATGGAGAGAAAAGACCAGGCAAAAAGATTCTTTCAAGTAAAAGAAAAGAAAATGTGAAAATAGAAGAGTACATAACAAAAGAGGAATCCGCAAATACTTACTTGGAAAAGCAATGTGCTGCGGTAAGAACCCATTGCTTTTTTATCAGACTCCCTCCGCATACAAACGCAAACCTATTTGCACTTGCATCATTATTATAACTTTTGTAATATCTCAATATCATGGCCATCCAAGGCCAGTCTCCTCTCAGAGAATCTGAACCCCCAACGATTCGAGGTGAGTGATCAGCTGAACTTGTGTATCTTATTCCGCATTTTGCTATAAATAAAAGCCAAACACAATCTGTAACCTTTTTGTATGTGTGCATCATGTCTGTTATGTTAAACATTATATCATCACGCTAATAACCGAATTGCGTAAGTCATTTTTGGCGATTTTGAGATTTTATAAAATAGGTATTTATGTAATGCTGCGCACCTGTCCGTTAACTCAGATTTTATTTTAAGAATTCCGAAACCCATAAAAATGGAGATAACATGCACATTTGTGCAATTGTTTGGTCATAATGAATTATCCTTGTTACCGCAGGACTATTGTGACGTCATAAAGGCAAAATAACCTCTGCGAAGTATTTTCGAGTTTTTGCATCTCGGATTCTAGCTTAGCGCGTATTAATTTGAGTTTATACTACAGTATAGGAAGACGTGCATTTGTGATATTCACTGTCCGAGTCCAATTCACCTTGGTTGGCTTTTATATTGGGTGCATTGCTGTTTTATTCTTTATATTTAATCTTAGTCTTATTTCGGTGGATGTGCAGAACGTGTTATATTGATGAAATATATATGTTTAAACATAAAAAAAAAATGTAATTGAAACGGATTAGCTATTTTGGGGATTAGACATTGTAGATACTGAGAATTACATTCGTTTTTGAAATGTTTAGTTTTCAGAACTGGTGCATATAGTAAAGTTGCAAAATTGCGTATGTCCCCAAGTCATAGACACATTTCTGCCTAAGTCACAGTGCGCCTTTATGACGTCACTTAACAGCGTCATACAATTTAACTTAAATCCGGCTACGATCAAAAAATTGAACCATGGCAAATTGTTGACTCTCAATGGCATAACAATATCATTAGGAAGTTTTTTACGTTTTTTTCAAAACTGCTAAAAATGACTTACGCAATTTGGTTATTAGCGTGACGATATGGTATCCCTATTTATTTGTGGCCGCGATTACCTAGTGGATTCAAATGTTGAACTTAACTCGGTCGGCATCGCAGTTGAAATTCTAGGGTTCAAATCCTATTCCAACCAATGAGCCTGCCCGCGGAAACAAGTATTATTCTCATGACAGGATAAGAAAATTGGGTAGACGATATGCCGAACAGTGAAAATTTTGGATATAAAACACAGCGACCTCTTACTCATGAGTGCTTACTTATCCAGACAAAAATATATTAGAAAATATGAACACGATTTTTATTTTTCCAAACAAATTCGTTGGAAAAGATGGTTTCATACAAGACAGATCAAGTTTTTCGACAATTAAATGTCATTATTTGTGTCCTCAATTGTCACATATTCCAGCTTTAATTCAGAATCCTTGTATGTGAGACATTCGATAGAAATTTATTGAAACATCAAAATGGAAATACGAAAATATTCGTCTTTGTCATTAAAAGTTGTTAAGAATCAACCTACGTTCATTTTGCCACGTTGATCCTGAGATTGATATTCTTCCTTCAATTTCAGTTTCATTTGTATAAGTTTCATTTACTTTTGTGAAATTGATAGGCTGTAAATTTGACATTCTCATCATAACACCATCTGTGAAAAAGACATAAATGAAGGCTTCTACTATTTAGTTTAAAAATTGGTTTCAAATCTGTATTTTATTGTGAGCATTTACAAACTCAAGAAACGAAAATTTATTGATTTTTTCTTTCATAGACCGGTTACATTTTTCCTTAAGATACGGATTCGAAAATTTAGCAATAAAATGGATACGGTTTCAAGAAAATATATCATTATTGAAGAATCACTCTGTATTCTATATATCTAATTAATTATCGAATAGCATTCGTCATTTTACCATATTTGAATAGACAGCGAAATGATAATATTGATTTTTCAACCAGGACTGAACTCAATTTTTCTTCCCAAACTTTAAAGTTTCATCATTATTTTGCTACCTTTCATGTTTATAAATCATTGTTTATTTTAAAAATGTGGTTCTTCAAAACGATATAGCAAAATTTGGATTTCATCCAACTTACGTTTTCCATTCGAATTTGTTACAGCCTTATACATAAGACTCTTCAAAAAAATACACTGCAGTAATATTTTAATCCACATGTAATCCATCTCCGATTCTTGGAGCTCGTTCAATAGCAAAAAGTATAATGCTCGGTTGAGAAAACGGCATGTGACGCTATCCATTACGTATTATGCGTCATTTCTTTCCAAGCCATTACTGGGCGTTCATCGATGGATCTTAGTTAACGAAATTTCCCATGGAATTTTAAGTCTTCTAAATATAGCTTCCTCTACTGCACAAAAACGTATACGCCACCAGTAGTCAAATAATACGCCTTTGCTAGCACATGCTCTCGTATAGACCTGATCCAAATTACGATATTAACCATGTGCTATGATAACGGTCTGTATTATCTGCCAATCTCTGTCTGTGTGAAGTGATTGTACTCGCAGTCAAAACGCATAATTTCCGGCAATTGAATATGACATCATTTCCAGTAGCGTTTAGGACCCGCGTTTGTTTTTCACTATTATGTTACCTCGACTGCAAAGAGGCAGTGTTCATCACTGTAGTTGTGACTCAGTGCATTCTAATTCGCGAAACATTCGCGTGTCACGAGTAAAACAAATACATTACCAATACTACATATTTAAGACTGATAAGGGATCTCAAGCTCAAGTCACACTACAACATTGTCGAATGTGCTGTATTTACGATAGATAACAGGTTTACCAAAGAGAATTACATGAAAAGTGGTAAAATAAAGATCAATTCAGCAATATCTACTTGGTGATATGCATCTGTTGATGATTTTATGTGTTTGTTTCGGAAGTTTAATAACAGAATTAATTGTGGTTCTTGGGGATGTTTTTAAAAAAGGTTGCATGGAAAAACGTTTTCACAAAATGTCAAGGTTTGATAGTAGTGGGCAATTAGAAAAAATACTCCCATGTTTTTTTTTTTCATTTGATAACCACGCCACAGAACTTATCCGATAAGTATACGCAGCAATTGCGAGAGGCAGAAATGCCAAGATGAGATTTCATCGCATTGCAAACCAATATTAGCAATTCCTATATATATTCGCGCATTCCCATCTGAACAGCGTGGAAAAGATTATACCCATCTACACACTTAAGAACTATGTCAGATGAGCTTCATATTATCGAATATCAGTAAAGGAATAGTGCAATGGTAAAAGACATATAAGTCGGAACTTTCAGTAGTATGCAATCAAATATTCTTATTGTAGAATTTTTTTTTAAAAACATTTCGTCACGCCAACTGCAGTCCGAAACTTTTTGTCTCTGGCTGAGCTTAGATACCAATTGGCACTCATGTAAACTGGTAAGACTGTAAGAGGCACGCGATGGAGCAGTTACTAAGAGTATCCATCCCCCAGCTGTCATTTGAGTGGGCACTGCTGTTTTTATTGCAGATGTTGTCTTTTTGTATTAAAGATTTACTGGCATCACCGATTTAAGGATGTTGAAAACGAACAAGCAATATTACAAAACTTACTTTCAACACGCGGTTTGAATGAATGAAAAAGCTGAAACTAGTATTCTTTAGAACAAAATACAAATTCTATGGAATGAAATCATACACAAAAGCTCGTCAAAAACCTATAGCTCAATAATCGAGTGGAATTTGATGCATGTGCGCAAAAATGCGTGTGATGTACTAGTATTCAAAACGTTAGACTCAACTATGTTGGCGTAAGAGGTGCACATCTCGGTTTCGCATACGCATACCTTCTATCTCCACAAGGATATATTAATTTTGCCAAAGTCAATGCAGCACTGAAAGGTTGCGGTATTTCCAAAAGAAAACACGTACACATCTTTAGATACCAGTGGATGGTTTTACATGGCCTTGTTCGGAGTGAAAGACGAGGTCAAATATTCCAATCCAATTCAACTAATAAAATATTTCCCAAGTCCCTAAGCTTAAACTAGGAAAACGAAATGCGCGCGGCAGCGCAAATGTAGTTTGAAGAGCGCAATAGAAAATGGCTAGATGCTGTCGATAGATCTTGGCTTGTATTAGTGAAATAAACTACCATTTATTCTACTAAAATTGAATTTCTGACATTGTAAGGAGATTCAATGTTACTTTGTATGCAAAACTAAACCATGTAGTTATGAAATAATTGTTTTTAACAAAAAGGCGCTCCTGAAGTATTCGTACCAAGATGGCGCACAACCTGAACATTGTATGTTTACCGGGTTAGGGTTCAGGATGTGCGTCACCTTGGATCGAATACTTTAAATCCACTTCAGAAAAATTGCTCAACATTATATACTCCACACCCACCTGAGTATCATTATATATGTCATATACATTATATCTATACAATAAAAAAAACTTTATGTCCCAAAACAATGTTAAGGCCCGATTCTGCCGGACTAAAAGTTGACTAGAGCCAAATTTGTGGATCTGATTGTCTTACACAAACTTAGATCTAAAACCCCGACGTGTGAATGATTCAAATCGACCGATTATAGCTGTTCACGATAACTGCAGTATATATTCCTGTTTTAAATGAAAATAACAGAGAAATGTGTCGATTATTATTTTATTCTTGTGGGCTCCATGGGATTCGTGGGCTCGATGTGATTTTAAGTCGAAAGTTTTTTGGCGGTAGCGGTTAGGACTTGTTTTAAGACCTATTTTTTATGTTTTTTTTTTCATTGAAATACCCCCTGCAACGCCGTAAAACCACGCCAAAACGTTTCGTTCTGGCAGCTGCAGCCGGAGTAATAATTTCAAAATTGTAAGTATAAATCTTTGCATTGCCTTTCCCTTTTATCGCGTACATTTATCGCCAAGTTTGTCCCTACACCAAAGTCATAAGATTTTAACAGCAATGTTTATCCGAGATATCAGAGAGACATTTTGAGTAAATAAGAAAAAGAAGTTCACGAGCCTAATACAATCCAAAAACATGTGGATCAAGGGCAGCCTTCGACAAAACAAGTGCGTTACGATGAAAAATATACTCAGATCGATGGCAACCTACGGATTTAGACGATGAGACACCCTAGCCTAGGATATGCTAATTGTAAAACCCCTCTGATACAATGACGTAATAACTAATCAGTTAATACGTCATATTATGGATTTTGAGTTTTTGTATTAAATTTTTTTTCATAAAAAGGGCATTATTACTTTTAAAACTGTTCGGTTAATTAATTCAAATTAGCATACTTTGTTTTTGAGGTTAAAGGGATAGCGTATTTCAAAGTTATACGAACTCATTTAATCGGCCGTGTTTTAATTTTTGCCCGGTGGTTTCGTCGCAGGGTGGTTCACGCAATCGGTTGCGTCTTCCTGTACGCAAACCACGTTTGCGGACGCATTGAACTACAGCTCGAGAAGGCGTGTATGGGCAAGTCGTTAATATTTGTGGCATTTCGAAGAGTTTATAGTGAATAATAAGCACTTGGCAAAATTTCACAGCCATTTTTTTCAACCTATTTATTATAAAAAATCAAATAGTACAGCCATTTTAAACAAAACAGGAAAAAATATTTGATTTGAAAAACAATTGTTTTAAAACAATTCTCTTTGCACAAATCCCTAGTACCGGTACTGCAAAAGGTATGATAGACAGACTACTGTTTCACGTTGGTCTTCGTGTCCATATATTTAGGCATCGCTTGTTTTCCTTAATTATTGTAGATGTCGTTGAACTATATGCATGAATCCGCTAGAAGGCCATCACGTTTTTTCCAAATTTTTTCCGAGTCACCCAAATTTTTGCTGTTCTATTATAATAAAAGTTATAGTAACACTGTTTTAATATTTGATATTTTAAATTTGATCATATGGTACGTTTGGCGGAATATATGAATAAAATTGAACAGGAAGATTTTAGGTGAAATGTCGGTTCTGCTAGCACTCAACGCTAATTTGAAAACTTTTTGGCGCCATTGAATACTTCAATGACAGATATCTGTACAATGTTAGCCATTGGTCTTTCGCATGTTTTCCTGTCAAATCAAATTTACAAATCAAGTTCACCACAGTAGCAATTCACGTCGGAGACTATGTTTGGTAACTCCGTGAATGAGCACGGGTGAGTCGAATCCGTAACGAACTAGTATGACCGATTGCCACCCAGTTTTGCAACATGTCTTCATACTTCACCCATATTCTTTCATTCTTAGACATGTTGCAAAACTGGGTGGCAATCGGTCATACTAGTTAGTTATAGGCTTGTACGTAATTTACGGATTCACGGAATTACGTAATTATTTCGAGTTACGGAAGGGAAGTTACGATTTACGTAAAGTCGTAATTATTGGTCGAGCTTTCGTGATGAAACGAGCTCTTTTCAAAGCAGTCAATTCCATTGATTGTAAAAAATGAAAATGAAACAATTAGAAGAAGTTAGAGTTTCGGTATTCGCAGCCGTTTTTCTCTCTCTTGCCATTACGACGCCGTGATAATTAATGTCGCGCTTATCAAACAGCAATATGACGAGGGAAAAGAAATTGCGTCATGAACCAACGCAACTTCGTCTTTTTGGCATCGGTAAAGCGATTGAGACGACGAGATTTCCCGCGGACCGGTCAAAATCCCGCGGACCGGCGGTTGGGAACAACTGTTCTAGAATACTTAAATCGAATCTAGAATCCTATTCTATTTTTATAGTTACACGTATTTCAACAGTGGAAATTCCCCACCACAATGCATGATTAAAATTAAAAAAAAGCTAAATTGTAGCCTAAATGTATAGCTATCTTTGTACAGTATTTAATTGGAAATTATATTTCACCAAGGGAACGAGATTTAAGAATTTCACGATCATCTTTTTGTCTTTAACAGTTCTCATATTCTCAATTTAACTACTATCAAATACAATCAAGTATGAGCTAGTGTGTTTATTCTGTGCGTGATCCATTTTCTATTACGAAATCTTTCTGTTACACTGGTTATATCGTTATATGTCCGGACCTGGCCTTGCTCAATATGTTTTTCACAATGCCTCGCAAAATTTCGCCCAAATATGATTTCGGCCAACTGTCTTCACCAAACGCGGCAACCTTTTTTTGATTTTATCGTCGACTCGAATACCACAGGCACTCGACCAAACTTGTGTGAATCTTGGCCGATAGGATCGTCGACTTTGGTTAGAAAAATAAGTTAATTTTTTGTGCAAAATAAATGTCACAAAATGCATTGTTTTGCGATATAACTTTGTATTTTCGGAGAAGGAATGTCATATAAGTACGGCATTTAAATTATGCGCAAATAATGGTATAACATTTAGGCAGCGAAATGATTTGATGTCAAATGAAGGATGGTGTCGGAATATCGTCAATAAGTCGACATCAATAATTATTATAAAATGCTAACTAGGTAGACGGTAGTAAAGTCGAATAATGTAAAAAACGGTGCAATAACAAGTCTTCGTCGCGAGGCAAGCGCAAGTATAATCAAACGCGAGAATACGCTCGTCGTTGATTATTAAATAAGAATCCCGAAACTTTTATTTAATAGAAAAGTCCATTTAAAAAAAGTCAACTATCGTTTCATAAAGATCCGTATACCAGTGTCGGTAATGATAAAATTGATCGCATAAAATTGGGACGGTTAATTTGCGAAGGTGACAAAGAAAAATCAAAGCTAACACTAAAGATAAAAATCAGAATAAAATTAATTTGAATTCACTCCCTGATAGTTGTCTTTAACATTTGTCGCCGGCGTGTAATACTGCCAGGATTATGAAAACCAAACTTCGATGTCGCATTCGGAAAAGAAGTGGATTCAATAGGTTTTTATGATAGGTTTAAATGTGAGAACAAATATCGCAAAAACGGGGTCATTACGTAATCGATTTGGCCGTAATTACGGAATTGATTTTTGTCAATTACGTGCAAGCCTAGTTAGTTACGGATTCAACTCACCCACTTCCATTCGGTGGCTCTTGACTCTACTTGTAACAAGTCTATGAAAGAGAATTAATTGTCTTGAGTAAATACAGTTCACAAGTTTCGATATTAATCTTAACGTGCGTTAGAGGGCGGTGCTGGATATTAAAGAATTGGGCGATTTATCCGCTGTACATCATTTGGTGGCGCGAGCAGCAGAATGTCCAGCAAAATGGAAGAACATCGTCATTATTTCATGTATGGTTCTAAACTGAAGTTTGACGAAGATTCAACACTCGAATTCAAGGTAGGATCCCAGAAGTAGTTAAAATAAAACATGATTAGTTTATTGGTATATAATAAAAATTACAATAATGTGGACGTGGAGATCTATCTCAACTTAGCTTTGCATTTTCATAATTTCAAAGGCATATATTATTGAGATATACAATGCACATAACTTTATCAATGCCCAGTCCATACTATGTAGATGTTCCTTGATATATGGTTTGTAAAGCTAAATTTCATATGGATTTTAATGCCAGCATAATATATGCGAATTAAATTGCGATAATGTCATATGCCAATAGCATATATCTATAAATCACTGTGCCTGCTGGAACTTAATATTCCAGGGGCATAGACTGATTTCTCATGCTGATATATCGAATCCGAAATCATTCAACAAAAAGCAGACGAATCAAACAAAACTCCCTCGTACCCGACAAGCTGTGTCTCGTTGTCTGTGCGCTTTCCTTAACACGGGGAGTGGAGGTGACGTTTATCTTGGAGTAAATGACGAAGGGCGGGTTATTGCTTTGAAGCTATCTCTGCGACAGGTAAGACAGCATTTTGAGCTCATAAATAATTTTACCACTCGATTATATATCAATCAGTCAATTTTCCAGAAGACTCATAATAAAAAGGTTTTCAGGATCTGGGTTAGCACATGTCAAATAGATAAATGTCACAAACAGTCCGAATATGATGAACGTTAATAAATTAGTTTAGTCTTCTGCTCCTATTATGAGAATTCAAGTAGATAATTTTTTTTATACTGACTTAAAAACAACATATTGGCTGTGTATTTGTATGGCAGATGGATCACTTACTGCTTCAGATTGTTCAAGTGTTTGACAGTTTTAATCCACCCGTTCCAAACTATATGTGGTGGTTGGCATTCATTCCCGTGGTAACATCGAGGTCAGAAGTTCACGAGCGGTTAGATCTGATACAAGAGTGGAGATCTCTCAAATATGATGACGTAAAACGGTCTGTTGCGCACAGATTCCCATCGCATGGTCTTTGCTGGTGCGATGTCACGCAGCATACGGTTTGTTTATATTTTCATAGTTTGTAGAATATAATCAGTGTAACACATATGTACATAACTATAACGAAAACATGCACAAATCAAGATATAATACAAATTACATGCTTTATAACAATATTTGTTTCATGTAATAAATTTATATAAGAAAGTAACCATGGCGTTACGGTTACATGAACGAATTCCAATGTCAGTTGCTTGATAAACTTCTTTCGTCACTAACTTTGATTGTTATAGATGTTTTATAACATTTTAGCTACCGTTACCAAGAGCCTTTCCCACTGGTTGTCATTTTGACTATTTTATACACAAAACAACAAATGTCACAGTCAAACACAGTGAAATTCATTTGGGCAGCAAATCCTCAATCGAATCGATTCCGCTTCTTTATCACGTACCATTCGTTGCTTGTCTAGACTCTAGTCTACTCTAGACTAGACTATAGCCTCGAGAGAAGTTGTGATAACATCCCCTCATGATCTGGTATAAATAAGGTAATATACTGTACCTGCACTATATTTACGAACGCCTTTTTATAGGAGATGAGTCATCAATACGTTGTTCGTATTCACCTGAAGTCATCGAAAATGAAAAAATCAGAAAACAACCGACTTTGTCTTCCAACTATTTATCAATGTGATAACGGGAAAGCTTATTTTCGAAACTGTGCTAGGTATAGTTGTGAATCACGGTTTAACTTAGAAGTAATTCAGAAACATAGAATAAGTATGCTTTGGATTGGCTCACCACATATAGTAACTTCATGGAAAACATTGCAATGCATAGAATTCACTTCAAAGTTTCAATTCAATTTCAAAACAATTTTGAGAACGCCAATTGTAATACTCCCCGATCGACGATCACCTCTCTCGAGCTCATGGCTGTTTAGTGGGGAATACTTGAACATTATAACTTGTTTGAAGAAGGAAACTAACAAACTCGATATTTAAATTATACTAATATCGATTACCTATTTTCAGTGTTCTGGGACATACGCCACAACAAGTAGTTCGTCACACACGAGATTGCATCGAATATCATTATCAGCCCATTGTCGATAAATTAAAAGAAGAACTGAAAGCACTCCTACGATAGCTTTAGATGATTGGAATAAACAAAATTTGCACCAAATTCAAAGTACACAACATATTTCATTGGTGACGTTATATTTATTGTCCACACCATCCCTGCTATTCGTCGAAATATTTTTCAAATGATTTGAAGACTTTCTTTAATGTTTTTACTGGATTATTTTTATGGAAAAACATATAACATATTAACGACGTATCGTGATCATTATCCATGTGTTTTATTGAATGTTCTTGGATTTAAATGATCTATTTTTTCCGATAAACTGTTTCATTTTTTCTAAAGTAAACCAGAGAGATATTCTTTTTTAAAAAGAAGCAAAAATATTTTATTCTGGCGTTAAATGTTAAACGTGGCGAATGTATGGACGTGTGCAAAAACGATTGTTAATATAAAGCTAGCTTTGAATAATATATTTAGGAGAAAATTTGAGTTGAAAGTTTAGTGAGTTAGCACGAAGGCACAAAATAAATGTGAGGATCAATTAATTCATACTTATAGCTTCAAGGAATATAACCTATTCATGTTTAAAAATGACCGGCTGATTGACGTATTGCAAACAATTAGAAATAATATTGCAAAATATCGTACATCGAGGAGGATATGTATGGAATACTTATATCAAATAACAGAGAAGGTATGTCTTATCATAGATAAACAAAAACAAACAAAAAAGGCCATGGTATCCTATTATGTTGCAGTCAACAACAATAAAAAACGAGACCATACTGATAGGAAAAATTGAATCGCAACAACAAGAAGTCAAAGCTGACGATGTAGCAGGGACTCGTATAGAAATCAATTTAATAAATAAAATAAATTTAACTAATACAAGAAAATTTTTTGTTGCAAATATACTATCATTCTTGACCAAATTTGAAAATACAATTGTGTAACATTTCCTCAAAAATGTGATTTTCAAGAACCAAATGTTGATGCTCAAAATATAATTCGTTTTCTAAAGTAGATGAAACTACATGATAATATCTGAAATGTCACACATTTAGTTCAGTGAATTCATTCTCCGGGTATTCCAGGGCAACGGAAGAAGCCATCTTCTTAAGGTGTGTTTTTAGTCAATCATTATGCTTACATGGTCGTGGAATGCATCACATTAAATCGGATCGTAATAGGCTTTAATGACCATAACATATTGGACGTCTTAACTTGAATAATTGACCGGAGGACTTCTAACAACGTAAGCAATCTTGCAGTATATCTACTCTGTATCAGAAAATTGTAATATAGACTCAGTAGTTTCTTTAGCGATACCTTGATCGAACAAAATTGGCATCAGTAGCGAGGACTTAACTTTGTGCTAACGTTAAAATTGCCGATCCGATCAAGTCTGACAACAACGATGTAACGTATACGGACGTGCCGGTGCGCACTTGAAGCTCATAATTCATTTATAAATTCATTTTAGCTAGACGTATATACCTTCTTTGTATAAAGAGTATATGGTACAAACCCACAGATTTCAATTTCGAATCCAGAAATAATGCTTCAGAGGAGCACAACTGCCGCTTCCTTCCAACAATATTTCTGGCTGATATTTGGCGTGGAAATTTCTTACATTTTTATGCGGATCAAACTTTAATGTCGCATTTAGGCTTCATTTTGATTCATCAAATATTCTTTCGGATTCCGAGTTCAGAATATAATAGTTTTCTCCCAGTGCATTCATTATATACATATGTAAAAGAAGAAGCAAAATTTCATGAATTTTTGAGAAATTTTTATGTATTAGGTTGTAAGAGTTGAGTGTCTTAAAACCCTGTTCCAGTGAAATCACTTTTCAATCAGGTGTTGGTTGTCTTCTAGAGCAGTCATATCCAACCGAAATGTCATCTGAGGTCACAGATTTTGTGCCACGGGCCGCAAATCAAATACCTCGTCACACAGTATGAATTACTATTTATATATAGAGTTTATGATGAATGGGTTCAAATTAATAATATCTCTTCTGATAATGCCAGAAAACATTTACGCAACATTTCTATATCACTCGCATTTCTGATAATGCGCAACGTAATTGCGTAGTAATATTTTCGTTTGTTAGCCAAGTACGATTCTTCGATTTGTCATTTTTAGTAGTAAACTTATCGTTAACCATGTAACTTTTGTAAAAGTCCAGCTCTCGGGAACAAGTACTTCAATTCTGTAGCCTACTAGTCTGAAGATCAGTCATGAATATATTGCAGTCTCCTCCATCCGGCATAAACACATAGCATCATATTTAAATTTATTTCCACCGGCGCCGTTGCCAGACGGGCCAAACGTCTTGCTGCACTACTACGACACATTGGGGAAAACACCGAGGGTCGCAAGAAACCTTCCGCGGATTTGACACCCATGGCATAGTCAATAGTGAACATTATGAGGAGCGGAGATAGCAGAAATGGACTATAACATCGTAGTTATCCACGTATATGTAAAATGCTCATCCCACGTACGTGCCAGGAAAGCACTTTGCATTAGTTGCACAGAAATGAGGAAGACATGTCAAGCTTCGAATGCTTTTTAGGATCGCAAATCAAACGGCTGACAGTCAGACAGCTAAATGTTTGATCGCATGAACCTTTTGACAGCAGGAAATGCAGTCGGATCTTTAAAAGCGTGAGCTAACGACAAACATGCACTCATTTGAGTCTTGTTTTGCGCAATTCATGTGGCCCTGCATATGCAAGAACATGTATATATATAAAATATCGACTTTCTGCTCGAGAATATACTATGATGTCTCTTTGAGGGTAACTGTCTTGGGTTAAAGTGAAACAAGAAAACTTTTTTAAGAAGAAGATGGCACTTATTCAACAACTGGATAATATAAGTTAAAGCAGTCTTCAGATCTTTAGTGAAAAATTCAGTTTTGGGTCGAGCTTTCTCAAGTAAAAGCTGTTGAATTTATTGTTAGAAGAGACATAGCAAGTAATCCGTGCAATAGTGAGATCCGATACAAACCATGAATAAAATATACAAATCGGAACTATATGAATTTTACAAAAAGTACCGATTTTTTTTAACAAACTATGAAACTCCAATATAACTTATGTGAATATTTATTAGTAATTCCTATCGAATATTAGTTATTTTTGGCTAATTTATTGTTTTTATTTTTATAAAAGTTCAAAAAACTCATTGCCAAAATGATAAACCAGATTTTAGTTATCACTACGGCGCTGTTTTGGGGTAAGTTGTTTGTATTAAAAATTCGAAATATGGAAATTAGAATAATTCTTATTTGTTAAATAAGAATAAAAAATACTAGTTCAATTGTCGACTTATGATCACTGTTGAGACGAAGTTATTACGTTGCCGTGATAATTAAAAGATACTAAAATAACAGGATATACTCGATTCTTGTTTAATTACTCGTTTCCATGTTAAATTATTGAAATTAAATTTAGGTCTTGGTGCAGCATCAACGTGGGATTACTTAGAACATGGTGAGTTTGTGCTACGATAGATTTATTTTATACCCGAAATTGTGCATCGGAGTGATGCAAAATGTTTGTATAAACCCCAGAACAATTTTTATATGTTTTGAGAATGATATTGTAGTTTATTTATTTTATTGGTACTTTATTCTAAATAACTATTCTATAAACAAATCATAACTATTTACTGGAGTAATCGAAATTGTGTTAATAATCGACAACTTAAGGCCTTCCTAAGTATATATATAGAGTATAGACTGACCAACTTGAAAATGAAAGATTCATCTATCGTGTTGGGCAATTGATACGTTATTTAACCTATTTTGAATATTGTTAAAGAGCCCGTTTCAGTGTTGAGGTACGAGATAATTTTTAAAAAATTATCTACATTTTTCTTGATTTTGTTCACAGGACCTATCAATTGGGGTCGTGAATTTAAAGATTGTGACGGAAAAAAACAATCGCCTATCAATGTGAGGACGGATTTAGCACAGACAGATCCAAATCTTGGAATGGTTGATCGTTCAATGTTCTCAAAACTACCATCATTTATGGACATCGCGGATAATGGGCACACGCGTAAGTCCTGTTATAACTATATTCATAAAAATAAAACATGTTTTATTAAAGCATAAAACATGTTTCTCCATCATTATTCTTCCTCCATTTCAAATAATTGCACCCCTGCAAAACAGATTGTCTGTAATTGGCGGAAGCTGTGTCCATGCAAGTAAATTATGCTCAAACTTTGTTTAGTGGTTGTTGGTGACTTCAAAGGAACTTATGAGATTAATGATCCGAGTTTGCTTCCCTTCACGGCTGTTCTTGAACAATATCATTTCCACTGGGCTGAAAACGCATTTGCGACGGGTTCTGAGCACCTTCTCGATGGCAGACGATTTTTTGGTGAAATGCATGCCGTACATTTCAATAAGAAATATGGATCGGTCGCTGCAGCGGCTGACAAACCAGATGGACTTGCCGTTTTTGCTTGGTTTATTGATGTAAGTTCATTATAGTTGTGTTCTGAGTTGAAGTGAATTCATTCCAAGGAGCATTGTATAAATTTGGATCAGTGTATAATTTGATAAGGTAATATAATGATTTGGGAACAATTAATGCATGCGATTCTATTTTATTCAAAACATTGACTGAAATTTGCTATCTCAAATTATATCTTGGCGTGCGTGTACACTTTTTAGACCAACAATCTGCACACAAATCCAGCATTTGAGAATTTATTACATCATGCTTTGAATGGTGCCCGAGATGCGGATGATCAAGTACGCATTGAGCCAACATTCTCCCTTGCGTCTCTGCTTCCTGAAAACCTAGAAGTCTACTATCGTTATGCCGGTTCTTTGACGACGCCCCCTTGCTACGAATCAGTGACTTGGACAGTTTTCAAGGAGCCGATTCAGATTCACATAAGACAGGTATACTATAAGTATTTGTATATTATATTCACATTGACGTAATTTGGCATCTCGTATGTGGTTTATTTCATTAAAAGAGCAAATATATATAAAAGCGTATAATCTAAATCAAACAATGTTTCCTTGCAAATATAACAATCTCGGTAATATCCTCCATAAAATTTTTGCACAGTACTAATCAATATAGGGTGTTTAGACAGTGTGCTATGAATAAAATAAGACCTGTTAAAATGTTTAGGAAACATAAGTTTGTAAATACAGTCTGTACAAATTACAGGTGTCAATACAAAGCAGACAGTCTAACTCTAATCCAACGATTGGATGTATGGAGGCAATACGATGCCAATCAACGTCATATTTTATGAATATTACAATGGTGAAATTATGTTGAACGTTTAAAATTTTACGTAAATTGAGATCAAATTATTGATAAAATTTACAGTTCTCGCATCTTCTATTGTTACAGGCAGCCATTCTAACAACCAAGTTTTATGAAAACAAAAAGGAACAATTTTGCTCCGCCATAACTTTCGTCCAGTCCAGAAACTCAACGGGCGAACAATTACTAAACCTCTTACATCGCATAAGTGAAGAGAAAATTTACTAATAAGATATAACACACATGTATATTCAATGTTAAATACTAGATCAAAGAGTGAGATTTGAAAGCTGATTTTTTTATCCTCTTTAAAAATATATACAGTATACTCAGTATGTCGTGGTGTTTACTCTGTCGTAGTGTTTACTCTGTTCAAAAGCATATACCGAGAATAGCTTTGAAAGACAGCGAGTTGATTAAGAAATATTCTGGGCGTCTGGCCAACATCAGTGCAACACTTTTCGTAGACTTTAAAATCAGGCAGCTTGTCAAGTAATTAAAATACTCACACTGCCGGTGTATGAGGCCTGTCCACTGGATGACTGTTTTCTAGTCTATGCATAAACATGTAAGCTAAAAGTTACAAAAAGCCCAAAAAGTAGAAATATAAGGTTAATTTTGTTCGACTCTACATTGCTTGTTGTTGATTCAGGTTGAGATGTGGATATGACACTTGGTGTCGCTGTTGGAAGCTCTTCGCCAATGAATGTTATTTTTACAGTAAAACCTAAATCTCTCGGCATTCCATCTTTGTAATAAACTGTAAAATTGGCTAGATTGCTCTGAACAAGCCCTTGGACAAGATAACCGTTTCCACACAGCTTTGTTTCAGTCCAGTTTGGATGGTCTATCAAGATACTTGTACATGTTCGATATTCATCTGTATAATTGATGTGATAATGATGATAGCAAGTTGTTTCCAGAAAAACTTTTGTTCCAGATGGTGCCTGAATTATCCAACGGCAGTCCTAGAACAATAATATATCAAATCGCACGAGTGTCCAGACAACTGAGCAGTTAAGCAGCATTTTCCAATTAAATTACCTTCTACACGTAAAAACAAATTTTCGTATCCAATTCTATATTCTCTTATCATTATTATAAATATATTGCTTGTGGTTGAACTTGTAGCATGGAGAATTTATAGAACATTTTCATGTTGAATTTATTGGATATTGCTCATGAAAATCAGTAGTGAGTTAGAAACCCTGGAAACACATCTGTGCGTGTAGGATTAAGCCTGACAACGTTGGTCCCAAGCAGCATGAAATTTTCCAAAAATAAAAACGCGTGACAACGATGGGCTACGAAACGGACCAAGTTATTTTCTTTTTATCCAATTTTTTTTTTTAATTTTTTTTTTTTTTCAATTTTTTTTTTTTATTTTTAGTTTTTTTTTTAATTTCAATTATTTTTATGTTTTTTCACAACTATTTTTTTATTTTCGCTTTTTCATTTTATTTTTTCATTTTTTTTTAATTTACACGTGACAACGATGGGCCACCATAATGGTGATTAAGTACACACTGGTTTACAATTTTCATTTACTCCACGAAAATCTTTTTTTATTAGTTTTTTAAAATAATGTCTCATTATAAGATTTTTCCCGTACGTACGTTGATGAGAATACTGTTTAACAAATGTAATGTTTGGAAGGCCACTATAAATAATAATATAAATAAACAAGTGAGCAATGCTCAGATATATGAACACGCGGACCAGAATGATGTAGTACGGGTACCGGTTTTCTATCTCTCACAGTAGACAACCGGTAGGGTAATATTATAATTAACTTAATAGTAGTATTCACGACAACCGCGACAGCGAAACCGCCATGAAGTGCGCAATTTTTATGACGTCACCGTACACAAAAAACGAATCTCATGGAGCCCACAGAAATTTTTGAAATAGATAAAAGTAATGACCTTCTGGCAAAAAATACGATTTCCAACCACTGAAAATTTCAAAGCAAGTGGTCCAGTAGTTTCCAGCGATTTTTTCATAACCGTGAGAATAAAAATACCAACAAGAACAACAACAACAACGTAACTTGATAACAGAACGATCCATATAAACATTTCGTGTCCAATAGCCTACCGTTCTCAGTAGACTTCATGACACTTTCACTTACCTCGCTAGGAACTGGTTGCGAGGAAACCGTTGAATTTAATCTTTCATATCTTAACACTGTATTGTTTGTATTGACAACTTCTCCACACGGTATAGAATCGCCTTCTGGACAACTTTCCCATTCTGTTTACAAATATATCACAAGGCATATTAATAACTACGAAATAGTAGTATTGGCACGCATAAAAAGAACTAGTCGATCAGCATAAACTATACTCTTTCCCACGTATTCAAGCATCAAAATCACATTCACCAAAGAAAGAATGAAATATACTGGATTTCAACTTACCCTTAGAAGGTACTGAGTAGACATAATCTGGATCAGATCCATGAATTTCCGCAATAAAATACCAAATAACGCAGATAAAAAGCCTCTTGTTCATTTTGCTGTGTAGCCAACCTAAATGTTTATTGACCACCTCGAAAAGCTATATGAAGTGACTACATTGAAAAACACATTACGCATAAATAAGTCATAAAATAATGGGGCTTTTACAGTGTTGTTTGTAGTATTCAAACAACGAACTAAGCAACTCGTGACCGCCCGACGTTAAATCGACTGGAATTTTTGTGATACCATTAAAAACAACGGATCGGCTACTTGTACGTGACGTCAGGCATGTAACTCGGGAGAAAGCAGAATATGATGATTATGTCGTCTACGTCTCCGACATTTCATAGGACTTAGGTTAGGCTTATGAAATATCTGGAGAGGAGGGTGAATATCAAACACTACAGATAAGTGCTGAACGTCACATGCATCAAATATTGAAAATACCATGCCGTTGAATTCACATGAAATATCAGCGGAACAAATAAATAAGTCCACTCAAGCCGTGTGTGTGAGGATTTGTTTATCGCGATTCGCTAACGAAAGGAACAGTCGCAGAGCTTGATCGAATAGTCACTGGCGCGTGAAGCAATACGAGAATGTTTTCGACACTCACTCAACCGTCCTTGTTTCCTTTACATCTCTCGTTACCTTCGCTCGCAGCGCTTCGAATACCGATCGACTGGACTGCTGCATTATCGGTCGCTATATATACATTACTTTTGACGGTTCAAATGTTTGCAGCATGCAACGTTGGAAGTAGTTCTGAAGCGACTGAAATTACGGTTGTAGCAAAACATCGATAGTAGCTACTGTAGTAATCCATAAAAAACTATGGCGGATGTAGCAAAACCGCGACCAAGGTTGGAAAGGCGTGCAACGCTTGTTCGAACACCTTCTATTTTATACTTTCTGGCGGATGCTATGAAAGACTTTTATTTGTCTGATGCAAAGTTAGAATTGGTAACACAGAAAATGGAAAATGAAATGATGAAAGGCTTGAATAAAGCAACTAACAAGAATAGTACTCTTCGAATGTTGCCGACATTCGTGCAGTCACTAGCTGATGGTAGCGAGAGTGGTGCATTTTTAGCACTAGACCTTGGCGGCACAAACTTTCGTGTTCTTCTGGTTAGATTGAGTGCGGGAGAGCGACCTGAAATGGACAGCCAGATATATAAAATGCCATCAAGTATAATGACTGGGACCGGTGAAAAACTATTCGATCATATCGCATTGTGCATGGCAAAGTTCCTACAACGTCTAGATATGCACGATAGAAATTTGCCAGTCGGCTTCACGTTTTCTTTTCCATGTGAGCAAGATGGATTAGATAAGGCAAAGCTACTTAGTTGGACTAAAGGATTTAGTTGTGAAGGTGTCGTGGGCAACGACGTTGTCACCCTCTTACGGGAAGCTATCGATAGACGGGGAGACATAGACGTACAAATTTGCGCAGTCGTGAATGATACAGTTGGCACCATGATGAGTTGTGCGTATGAAGAAAATGATTGTTCCATTGGACTTATCATTGGCACTGGGAGCAATTGTTGCTACATGGAAAAAATGACAAATATAGGAACTATTGAAGGCGAGGAAGGTGATATGTGCATTAACATGGAATGGGGAGCATTTGGAAACGATGGTTCCTTAAATGATATCAGAAATAGCTACGATAAACTTGTTGACGAGGCGTCAATTAACCCTGGACAGCAGTTGTATGAGAAAATGATTAGCGGCATGTATATGGGAGAGATAGTCCGTTTGGCTCTTTGTCAACTCACCGAAGACAGAGTTTTATTCGACGGAATCGGCTCAGAAGAACTTTACACCAGAGGTAAATTCGAAAGTGTAATCGTATCACAGATTGAACGCAACGCACCTAATGGATTTCATGCTTTACAAAATATTCTGTATAATTTGGACCTTGGAGCCATAAGAGAGGATTGTGAGATAGTAGAGTACATTTGCGAGGCAGTTTCCACAAGAGCGGCGTATCTCTGCGCTGCCGGAATTGCCGCTGTAGCTCGTAAAATTAAATCTAATTATCCAGAGAAAAACGAAATAAACATAACCGTAGGAGTCGACGGAACTGTATACAAAAAGCATCCAACTTTTGCCAAAAATCTCAAACGTAAAGTGGATACCTTGACTGAAGGACGTGGTATTGGTGTGAAATTTGCACTTTCTTTCGACGGCAGTGGAAAAGGAGCTGCATTGATTGCCGCTGCTACGATGAAAGAGGACTGATTGTTAGCGAAATTCTCGTTTTCTCTTTTATCAGCATGTTTGTACAAAATTTGTCAACAAAATCTTCTACCTCGGGTTTTGTTTCATTGCTGCTGTTTACATCGCTAAACTATTATCCAAACTTATAGCGTCAATATTTGTGCATGTCGTTCATATGTCTCTTATTTGTTATGTCAAAGGATAGCATCTGCTGTGTTTTATATATACAGTATATACATACAAATTGAGATTAAAATGTTGCCAGAAATGAGAGTACATCACATCATTTGTGTTCTGATGTACCCGCATTTGCAAATTTGTTAATATTTTATATATACCATCCATTATCTATGTGCATGCTTGTGAAGTTACGCAGAGAAATAGTCAACATTTTTGTATTGTGATAAAGCAGAAAAAGTATTTTGACCATTATCGTAGGTGATTTTGAAATACAGAATCATTGGGACTGATAGTATGATTATCTGACTTTGTTTGTAACCGATAATTTGAAAATTGTATTGGCCAGAAATCACCGCGAGTCACTAATAATGCTCTATTTGTATTTTTATACAAATTTCAAACAAAAATATCCTCTTGTGTAAGTATGTATTATATTGCCCAGCCCTAAATAGAGCATATGTACATAACAATTGATCATGGCATTTGGTAGTCAGATTCAAAAAGTATTGCAAAATTTACAATATACCTCAAAAAGAATCCACAGTGATACTGTTGTTGAAATTTTAATTGCTATCATTTTTTCGTTTTACTGTTTTCATCTTTACTGCAGTCATTTTCACCATTAAGCTAGTAAAATAAAAGATTTGTGTGACAGCAATGTTGAATTAGAATAACTGAAACATAATTCTTCAAGCCTATTGGGTTCGCTGCAGCATTTGTTTTACTCTAGTTTTCGTTGAAACGCTAGTGATCAGGTGCAGACAGAATGGCGATAAGTAGGCTATATTTCAGACACAATAACCATTTAATTGATTTTATATCATTGCAGTATAGATACACCGATATCTTATATATAACTTGTGCGTTATAGCTATTTCAGTATATTTAAATTTACATCAACTATAGTTGAGCAGCATTTTTCATTACCTTGATCTGCTACGGCTGTCAACAAATCCTTGCCTCCGGCAATTGCGTCTTATGCATAGGAACTGGCCAGGTATTTTTCTAAATTCATTCAAACAAGAGCATCGTCATGCATGACAATCTGAGAATATGGAAACTTGCGATTTTTCCGACAATATGAGTAGACAATGTTACTATATATCAGAGAACCTTTTTAAAACTTATTCTGAGAAATAATAAACACTAAAATGCGAAGCTATATATAGGTGCGGTTGTGTCATGACTTCAAGTGTATGTGTGATGAAATATATTTTCCATTTTTCAAATATTTTAATTATATCTTCACAAACGCATCATTAAAAAGTACACATAAGTTCACACAATTGCTCATTGTTTCACCGGCGTTGCCTGATGTCAAAAACATTATAAACATATAAAATATTCGTTGATTTAAAAGAAATGAAACCATGCAGTGGCATGTAACATGATTCCATGCAAGGTGAAAGTCGAAAGTAAAACGTTTTGGTTGAAAGTAAAAGGTTTTGAAGAACTAGTTGTTGTTGCTGGCTCGGTAAAAGGCACTGTGACCCTTTTTGGGATGATATACTTTGTAGTTTCCTCATTTCTACCAGTCACTGTTGTATTCCCATAAACAATTGACGGAATAATTATTTTTGTGGTGTTGTATATCAAATATATTTTTGTTGTATCATCATTAAAATTAGTTGCAGCGGATAAGGTAGTAGGTTTTGCATCTGTAGTGGGATGGTTGGTAAGATTCTCCCGAGTATATGTGGTGAACAATTGATCAGTGGTTGTTTCTGTTGCTTCGCTAGTATTCGTCGTTAAAATGAGCGTCGGTTTTGTAGAATTTATGTTGTTTCCATTTCCTGATAATGAATGCGTAGTTGCTAAACGCACAGTTGTCTCTACGCCAATTGTTGAATCAGGTTGTTGTGCAGGAGTTATATGTTTCATTGGAACAGTTGATGAATGATATGCGGTGGTTGGCGTCGAAGTTTCTTTCCTGGAAAATGTCACCCGTAATACGAACCCAAAGCTTTCCTTGCTGGAATCAGAATGAAATTGAATGCTCGTGATATGATGCTTTATCGTGATTGGAGAAGGTGTACTCATTCCACAGAAAATTTCTTCATGTCCTGTCGGAGTTGCAATATTAGTAATATCCGACAAAGGTTGCCACAAGTAATTACACGGAAAGTGGGTTATCTCTAAAGCACTTGATGTGAACTGACAATCATGAATAATTTAAAGCGCCGCCAATCAACATTCAATTAGGAATGTTCTATTAGAAAAACCAATTTCGAAATTCGGGAATGAAATTTCATATTTACAGCGAAATCGATACCGACTTGGAAACAGGTTCTACACAAATTTTACGTAAATAACATCTGTCTATTTGAAGAAGCATGTACTCACCAATTAATTTGGAGGATATGTTAACATAATCGTTACAAGAGCCCAAACTTCCTTGCAAATTAAAAAGGCAAATGAATTCCAAAATGATGTGCTTATCAGGTGGCGCCGCTATATCCCAAGTAATGTCCTGTTATTTGATCAAAATTATTATCAATAGTAGTTTATATTAGTACAATTGCAAAGTGAAATAAAAAAATTCGTCTAATAAAAAAAAATATTTTACTTCAAAGTACACATTATGTGTGTTCATCTGTAGTGACGTCGATAAAAATATTTAAAATGAAGTTCAGATAAACGTTATAGAATCTAGTATGGACCAGTGATTCTCAACCGCTAGTCCGCGTCATTTGAGCCCTGAACTGAGGCTGGGTGTTTCCATAAGTTTATGACGTCATAGCCGCGAACATTAAAAGCCAGATTGAGTTTTCCTGGGATACCATGTTGGAGTGGGACGTGGGAGCATAAAGTCTTGCCATTGTCACAGTTTTCGATATCGCTTGAAAAAATATCATGAGCTCAGCGAAAAAGCCATCAAAATATTGCTGATTTTTTGTACAATTTACTTGTGTGAAAAAAATTTAAAAGTTCACCGGTCCGCAAAATTATTTTTAAAATTTTACCGGTCTGCAAGCTAAAAGAAAAGGTTGAAACCCACTGATCTAGACTATTTCATTTGGAGACGAATAAAGTATCGGTTGATAGCATTAAATGGATATATCCATGTACGACGAAGAAAAACGACATTTGATGCTTGGAACAAATAAATGAGAACTAATCTCTGTCAACACGGTATTTTACGTTCAAACTAATAGCCTATATCTCACCGTATTTGATTGGTAAAAACCGGACAACGGGTTTATTGGAGGTCTGATTATTGTTCCATTTCCCGTTACTAAACCACCTGAATTAATGTGCGATGTTCTTGCTGTAGTACATTCATCAGGAAAAGCTACAAAAATAAAAGAGGCTGAACTAAAATCACGAAGAATGTTGAACAAGAGCAAGAGCGTGATCGTCTCTCGTTTTAAGTTTGGTTTATCCCACTAGTATCTCGACTATGGTTTATACATCATCCAACCGTCAACGACGAGAGTCTGGCAACAAATGTGACCATTCTAGAGCAGGGAATTTCAGGGAAAAGATCTTAAACGTTACGTCACAATTGTTTCAGAGCAATTTCACGTGATAGTTAAATGGTCACCCTACTCACCTACTGCAAGAGATATGCAGCGTACTTCCGACATATATATGAAAATATTTTAGTAAAACCGATTCCGTCAATAAATGTCATTTATATGACTTGAGATATCACAAAAAAAAACTGCGATCGGAGATCACAGATTCTAATTCTGAAGTCGGCATTGCAAAATTTTCATATTATAAATCTTAACCGTTAACCAGCTAAAAGCGGTTCTCTTCCCATTCATATTGCTCGCGCAGCTGGTCGAAATTCCCCGCGCAGTACTTTCGTTCTGCCGCGCACTGCTTAAGTATAAAAATGTTGTGTTTTTTTCTAATTTTACGCGCAGACCTTTTTTCTGGAGCTTACATGACCTTCTATTCCGCGCAACTAAGCAAGCTCTTAGAGGGAACGTTGACTGCAATGTAAGAAGCACTAACTTGAATGGTCCGCAAGTGTAGCCTTTATCCATCCAACGTATTTTGATACGGTGGTATAAACTCCGGGCCGCTGTCTTCGAGCACATCCGGATCCAAAGCTGGTTACTCCTCGAAGTACAAATGCATGTTTGTTCAGACGTTGATCGATTTCCGAACATACAAGTGGGCCTCCGCTGTCGCCTTGACATGAATCAATCAACCCCTCTTCGTGTCTGAATAAATAAACGCGGTTGTATTAATCTGAAGTCCAGTACACTTCTCGTTTCTTCCGTACAAACAATAAAACCACAGTCTTGCATTAGTTTTAGTGTGAGCGTGAATCCGATGTACCGTACTTTAATTCATCCGATGTAAACGTCTTTAATTCATAGAGGCTGACTCTATGAAGGGATTCAAGTTTGATAGAGCTGACATCTACTAGCAGAACATAAATCGATGGTTTTTTTGTTGTTTTAAGAACTAACGTATCATGAGAAGAATAGTATATTCTGACACATTTTCTTTGTAAACAATTACCGCTTTAATGTAATTTTTATAAAATCGTTGTTTACAAAATATCTGTACACTGTATATACATATATATATATATAATACAATACGAAAAGTTACCCTGCACATGTATGATTCTCTGGAATGGAAATTAATTCTTCTTGGTACCAGGAAACGCAAGAATCTCTGTCAATGATTGAAACTGAAGCTTCTCTTAATATACCTCTGCTTCCCGTTCCTTCGTGAAAATTTATTTATAAATTTGTCAACAATACTCTCGATATTTATTTGTCCCGTCTTATAAAATTTAGTAGTAAAAGATATTTGTTATTGAAATTGAAAAATTAACTGATATTCCATATAGGACAAAGCGATGGTTCGGTGTTCAAAAATATTGACTTAATAAACGTCCCCATCCTATTCCACGCTACCTTTCGTTTCTCCCCATCCTGTTACTGTACAAATCTGTCCACTCTTCAACTCAGTAGATGGCGTTGGTAAGCAGGCTGGTTTGAGGTATTCGTTGAAAGTTAACTCGTGCGCCAATCTGAACAATGCGATGTCGTGAGCATTCGCCCACCTATGGTATGCTAAATTTGAAATAAGACGTCGGTTAATATTTGTGAAGTTAAGAATAACTTATTAAACCGAAATAAAATTCACATATAGGCCACAGATTATTGATATCGATAGCTAAACCAGTTTTTCGGATCATTAACAGTTATCGCAAATAACATCGTTAGCGTAACAAATAGCGTCGTTTTATAATTTCCCCAGTCATTCATATGGGTACACGCTTGAGTAAACATGTTTAGGCCTATTTACCTGGATGACGATGTACAGACATAACCGCAAGGGTAATTTTCGATGATTCATTTCTATCGTCGGATAGGTAAATTCTTCCCAACGAGACATGAAACTCAGAGGGTGGGTATCTAATGATGGAAACAAAAATGCAAATTTACAAAATTTAAATTACAACATCAGGATTTCGATTAATATCCAATTTTATGAAGAACGAGTACTATATGTATGTCTTTGGTTGTGAATTGCAACGACTTTGCTTCATAATATCAAATATAACCAAGTTGATATTCGAATAATATATGAGGGATTAAACCAGCCTAAAATGGTAGTAATATTGGGCATTTTTTTCAAAAGCAATATCGAATTTTTGAGTATGTAATACGATTAATATTTGAGAAAATAAACCCATAGTATATGATAGTGTTAACCAAGACAATTCAGGACTATTAGAGAAAGGTCTGAAATGATATGACGTGGTAGCACCATAGGCTTCATAAGTTGTTCATAAAACCGAGTAAATTTGCACATAGAATAAAATATCTGTATCTTTAAGTTCAAAAATCATAACCTTCAAAATACCTTATATTGCAATGAGCAGCTGTAACGACCCATTGCTTTGCAATAAGAGTCCCTCCACAAATATGACGAAACCATCGGTTGGAAGCTTCACGTCGTAATATCATAGCTTGCCACGGCCACCTTCCTCGAACTGCTTCAGTGCCATTAACAATTCGGCTATTTATATTAGATGTAATTTCGGAATATCCACACGATACTGGAACAGCTAGAAATTGGTTTTAATGAATTAGTCCTCATTCCCTCAATAAAGTATTTATTTCGTCAGTAACCAAAATGGTCTCATTCTGGTAAGAGTGTTTATTAATAGTTGAGATCGAAACCACAGTGTTGGTTATAACTATAAGACTGGCGAAACCAAAATTGAATATCCTATGACTTCACAATGGAACAGAATTGAGTATTTGATTTTAAAAACAACAAAAACGTTTTAACAAACTTGACCCACCATGATTCAGTTTGGATTTACTGGGTAATCCAAGAATCAATACGGATTTGCGAAGTATGAAAATAATCAAAATTTTCGTGTGAATTGCAAAGTAATTACAATATAATAAAATCTCAATTAATTTTGTTTTAGTCAGGATTAATACTATGATTCAAAACCTACGCATCGCATGAATTGAATGTGTTAGTAGAATTCAAGGCGCTTCAGAGTGCGTGTATCAATATGGAGATAACTAATTTTGTTCGCCTACTTTATATCGAGTTTTGTAAAGGGACTGAAGCCTATGGGCAGGGGATATATTCACTTGGTTAACGCAGACAGTCCCCGAACTCGTAATAGAACTAAAATACGCGGAAAATCGGAAAAAAATTATGGCCTAACCCTAACCTGGTCCACACACTACCGGAGTACCGAATTCAAAGCCATTAATGAATATTAAAATTATATGCCATATAGTTAAGAAAGGTTGGTTGAAACCCTCAAATTTTTGCATTCATTTATGTGCAACGGATGAACCATTATATATACCCATATTGAATCACTGAACGTTGAAAAATAACAATTTCTTTCCAGTATATTCAAGTAGACGCAACAAGTGACGTAATCTTCCACGTACGGCCAGATAACACTATTTGGTCATCACGAGATCACTCGTCATTCAAACTTAGGAATTATCAGATTTATTAGAGCATATCCAAGGAATCCGACAATTTTTGTGCGTATATTTATGCGCTATGGGTAAGACAGAGCATTTAAAAAATGTGGAGTTCTATTTAAAGAATTCAATATATATTCGTTTTTATAAATTACAGGCGGAGTAACTTATACCGCATATCTTGTTATTTTATAAATTGATTTAGCCATCGAAATTTCGCCACAAGTTAACACGATTTCGATTGACCTATTTAGCAATACCAACCAACAAATATTTTTGATTTCTAGATTCATGTGCGTCCCTTACCTTGGTGAATATTATAATATAACTGAATACTCTCGTTCCAATTTTTCACTTTTAATTTTTATCCACACACATTTGCGTTAAAAATCAAACGATGACATGACACCGGTCTTCTTTGCTTAATCCGTGATATGAAATAAATTTCAATTGTTCCATTCATATATCGTTTCGTTTACTGTTCTGTTTTTCGTATATATATGACTAGTTATACACATTTGCAATGCATCTATATAAATGAAACATATTTACCTTCTTGTGTAGAGAACGACACTTCCAACCATCCCGACGAGATAAATATCAATAATGAAACTGTTTTCAGCATAATTTTTTAACAAATTTGAACTTTAACTAACTATTGAGTATTCTTGGAAATTTATTTCATTTTCGTACCCGACTAGCAGTCGAAGCGCGAATATATATAGTAGATACGGAGTGACGCAACGTAAAAATAGTTAAACCCAGCCGATCGCACTTAAGTCGGGGTAGTTAAGGGGTCTACGTTCCAGTTATTAGAGCGAATCATTTATCTTTCTAGCCGACGGGATTTAGTTATTTCATCGAGGTTTCTGGTTTGTCTATGCGTAATTGTGATGGCTATTCCAACTGATCTAACACGAGACCTTTCAACAACATCATTCCCATGTCAAACATGCCTGAGTATAATGTCTTTCAGGGTGCATAAAAGGTTTACGGTTTTACTCGACAAATTTTTAGTTTTCGTCGTAAAATGGTAGTTCATTCTACGGACTTTTTTTTTTTATAATATAATGAAACGTGCGTTACCCACATAGTGAATCCAGATGATATAATTTCTTGGTTTTAGATGAGACGACTTCTATAGGGTGATTCAGCCTTTCCACCAGCCGATATAATAAGTCGAATCATATATGACCTCATTATAAATATGACCCATTCCTTCTGTCCAGATACCCATTCGCGTATATATATATATATATATATATATATAACTAGAAATATATTTTGAGATTACAGGTAACTTTATTTTGCTGGGGACGAGGATAACCAAATACATAACAACTCAATTACCCATTACGAACAAACGTTGTCCTTTATTAATTCATTGAAATTCACTTTGAGTGTTGTATCAGTATCCGCGAGAACAAGTAGAATGGGGCTACACATACAATTACTCTTTACGAATGTACGTTTATGCTCAATAAAATACAGATGGATCACTTTCATTGATTTTTGCCCTGACTGCTGTATCGGTACTCGCGAGAATGGGTAAAGTGGGGCAACTTTCTATTAAGATTCCTAGAATTTTATTGGATGATGACGATATTAAAAAACTCGGAGGGTAATTCTAAAAAAATGTATATTTTAAGTAATTGAAATGTAATATTAATTTAACATTAGCATTGGGTTTATGAAACATTAAGATGCGTCACGAAACACGCGCTCAAACTAGGTTACTTTCCGTTTTACTGATTTTCTTTCTGGGTAATTTCATATCAATCATGTTGCCTTGTGTTGTTTATATTTGAAAAAACAAATACAAATGATTAGAGAAAATGAATTTTTAAATATATATATATATATAAATTGCTCAAATTTTTCATCAGACAAACTTTTTAGTTACTGTCGGAGCTACTGCTGCTACTGCTATGTCGACCATTGGATAGTTTTTCTTTGGATATTTTGGACTGATCAATTATTGTTTTCTTTGGATTACCGTCCTTCATTTTATTCTTATCGGATCCACTATGTTCAGTTTTTGTTGCGTTTTCGTTCTCAACCTTTGATTTTTGTTCTTGCTTCATTTGCTGTAGCCTGAAAGAGACGGAACTTGATTCCTTTTCGTTGTTAGAAACTTGTTGTTGGTTTGTATTTTCCAAGACCATCTTTTTCGTTTTCGAATCAGAAATACCGTTTGTTGTGATTGAAATTGTTGTTACGCTGGCAACCTTTTTATTTTTGGATTGTTTGTCAGGACTTGAAGAAAGGGAACGAAGCTTACAAGATGTCTTTTTATCCTTCTTTTTAGATGAAAACATCGGCTGATACTACAAGTTAAAAACATAGTTAGTTAAAAGTAATTTTAGAACAGGGTTAGGTTTAGTTCAAGTTTGATACGTATAATCAGAATAATCATTTTTCTTTGATTTGTCGAAAAGCTCATTATTTTAATCTTCAAGCAGTGAACAACATAATTTGTATTGTATGTATATATATATATATAAGAATTAAAAACTCCTGGTAAACTGTATTGCGCTAACTTGGCTATCATCTTACCCCTGGATCAGTCCATAGCATTCTCTTATCTTTAACTTCTCCGGGAATCCTATGTCGCTCCCAAAATTTTTTGTATTCACGGTACCTGTTCAAAGAATCCATATGGTCGTGCTTGAAACCTGTTGAAAATGGCAAACTGTTTCAAGTGTGAATCACTTTATATCAAGTCTTTGTACTCCCATCTATCACATTTTTTTTATTTTTCGACACATAGTGAGGTTGAAATAACAAGCCGGTTACCAATGTCCGACGGTCGCCAGATGACGAACGTTCCATACACACATATTGTCCTTGCGTGAGATGAGTTATTAAAAGCCATTTATCTTCTGATATATAAAAGACGCTTAGTACAATATCTTACATTTCTAATGATATCTCCGATTTAGCGTCTAGCTTGTATATATGATATACCACAACGCATAAATTATAACTTTATTGCTCCAAATTAATATTGGCAATACGTAAAAACAAAACAAGATTACCCTCCATTTTTGTTGAGATTAGACGTCCTACAGTCTTGCAAGTATTCTATATTTGCTTCTACAGGAAAATTTATCAGCTCGTTTTATGGTACCAATAAACATCAAACCAATAAAGTCACAAAATTGACACGGCAAGGTTTATTTTAATAAAAGAAGTCTTTCCTTGTTTACAAACTATTTTCATTAGCTAATCCACTCTCGGAAACTGTATTTCAGAAAGCAAGAAAGAGCAAGTAAGGACATCAACTACAGAAAATATTGAAGACGATTGGTTCCGTCTCCATGCCTGAACAACATATCGAAAATGCTAAAGCTGACCAGCCAGTACAAGTACAACGCAAATATTTACGCATATGTAACTTTCTCCGACATCTCTTTCCAGATATTGAAACCTAAATAAATAAAACAAAATATAATAAATGATAAGTAAACCACCTCAAGTGCCGCACTATAGGGAAACTCGAAGAATCACGTTAAGTTTTAGAATGAAGAAGTTATTTATGTAATATAAACAATAACCTTCAAAGATAATCCTTTGGAATTTTCATTAGTTTGTCCCACATAAATGTTCGACATTTGCATTAGTGTATTGTAATCAGTGGGCTTTATATAACAAAGGTTTTACTTTAATAAAATGCAAATGTTAATTCAGTTGAATACTGAAAATATACGATTTCAGACTTCACGCCGAGGCTATCCCGTTTTAAATTTCTTCTCAAATTTGATGAAGCCGGAAACGCTAAATAGCTGACTACAAAGCTATGTAAAATTTTACAATTTAAAAATTTGTTCAAGAACTATAGACTACGTCTTGTATAAATTCTAGTTGTGTTCATACTTCCTCCTTAATTAAATTACGGTTTACTACGACCGACAATAATCAGAGGTAGTATCATTTTAAAAAAAAACAATTTTTGTTTTCGAGAAAATATTCGTTGAAGAAGTATTGTGTGTACTCATTTAATGAATAAAATCCTTGGTTTTTATTAATTTCGTCTAAATTGTTTGTTTTAGTTTATGAAGTGTACTCTCATAGTGGTTGCCGCTAATCATCTGTCGATTAACAGCATGAGCAAATTAATGGCACTTTTATATAGGAGATGAAACCGAGAGTGAAAAAATCATAGCAAATGGAATGGTTGTCATGACGCACGCACTGCCAATTGTAACACATTGATAATCTTGTATCGATAATGCCATGTAATTTGGAATGAGTCAAGAACTACTCATCCCTGTTATAAACAAAAACGAAGCAGACAGAATAGGTAAAAAAAGATCCGCGAGTAGCTTGGTGAACATGGAACAGAGGTTGAAATCACATTAAATCCAGCATAGATCTCAAGATATAGCATGCCGTTTGTGTTCATTGGATTGATTGGCCGATTGGGCTGTAAACCTGCTGACTGGACTTCACTGTGGTGTTAATGCAATATGATATCCACCACCAGTATGCCAATTTCCGGATAAATTCAGCCAAAAGTTGGTAAACGTATTAGTTCAGGGTCGTCCAACCCGTGACCCGCGGGCCATCTGTGACCCGCGGAAGCATTTCGAGTGGCCCGCGATGTATTTTTTAGAATTAAATAAATAAAATTAGGTATAACTATTATTCGAGCGATTTAGTATGAAAAGTTGTGAACAAACGAAATGTTTATTTTCCTGAAATGCGTTCTGCCAGCCCTTCCAAACGAGCCATGAGTGCCATTTTGAATCGAAACCAACTGGGAAGAGATATCGATATATAAAGCTGCCGTAGTTGATACGTACATACATAAACTCCATAATACATACATGAAAGCGAGCAACTTTGTGGCAGAAATATTCGCAAAACAATCCAAGCCGTTTTCACATTGAGAATTCGTTCAGCAATGTATTTCTAGGGTTACCAATGTTTTGTGACCGGAAATAAAAGAGGTGTTTGCAAAAATAAGCCTGTCGAGACAGGCATACGATAAAACATATCCTTATAGACTACGTTGAAAATCATATGCTATTGCGTACAATTTATATTAACCCATCTGTCAGCCCATTTCACTTTCACTCCCTGTATCTCAAAAAATGTCACTGAGACACTTAAGCAATGAAGACACTGGGGCTTTGTACATGTGGAATACGGCATTTGACAATAATTTGACAAAGAAAAAAATGACTTTTAGTATAGTTTGTCCAAACAAGGTATAACATGAAACAGCCGTTTATTGATATGGGAATCGTGATGCAAAATACATATAATTAAAATGTTCACACAAGTTTTTCTTTATAGCCTTTGCTTTTTACAAGCTTTACTAGGAACATACAACAATTGCAACAGCGTCTTTAAAAAACATAAAATAACGTTTCTTGTTATCAATGAAACTCATGTTTAATTTGAATATTTACCTTCATATACGAACGAATGCTTTACGTGGAAATGCTTGGATGGATATTCGATAACGATTAAAAACAGCGTGACCAAAAGAAAAAATAGGGATTTTGAACAATCTGTGGAAAACTATAGAAAGCGTAGCTTTGAAAGAATTACCATTTTGTGACGTCAACTCTTTTGACGATAATATAAACAAATTACTGTTCCAGTAGGGAATACTGCAATACTTTCAGCAGTAAAATATTATCTTTGGCTGCAATGTACAGACACGATTCTTGCGGAATGACCATGATATCTGCTTGTCAGGCTCCCTAACATTCAAATACGAATCGGAGGAATTGATTGGCAGAAGCTCGGCGGAGTATCAAAACACGACAAACAAATGACACTCAAATTTAAGTAACTTGGTAGTGCGCATCAGCTTATTTTAAAACGATATAATATCATCCACTGGCGAATTGTGTTAGTTTTTGATGCATTAAAATTCTGTTCACTTCAGGTTGGCTAGACAAAGGAAAACCGAAAGAAAATATTAAAGCAACAGTCAGACATGGGGTCTCAAAGTAAACGATACGAACGATACGCCGTAACTGTCTCTTCAATCGGAGCGGCGCAAATTCTTCCTAAATATTGCGACATCTCAACGGATCAGGGGAAGGTCGGTGAAAAAACCAAAATCGTAAAAGTAATAACCCTACTTGAGACACTTCAATATTTAAATACAGATTATTTAAAAGGGATTAACAAAAAACATAATAGAAAATATCATCATCGACAGAAATTTAGCAAATCTCCCGGTATAATAAGTCAATTATTTCATTTCATAAATGTCTCCAATTTATTCATTACTACAGTATTAGAAATGGAATATCGTCAATACGTACAATATGAGGCAGTGTATCTTAAGACAGTTGTTATAGATTGTCTTTAGAGTCTTCGTTGTTTCGAATAGACAGGCTGAAACGTTAGACCAGGGTCGTCCAACCCGTGGCCCGCGGAAGCATTTCGAGTGGCCCGCGCTGTATTTTTTAGAATTGAATAAAAAAAATTACGTATAACTATTATTCGAGCGATTTAGTATGAAAAGAGGGGAACAAGCGAGTTGTTTATTTTCCTGAAATGCGCTCTGCCAGCCCTTTCAAACGAGCCAGGAGTGCCATTTTGAATCGAAGCCAACTGGGAGGAGATATCGATATATAAAGCTGCCGTAGTTGCCACGTACATACATAAACTCTATAATACATACATGAAAGCGAGCAACTTTGTGGCAGAAATATTCGCAAAACAATCGAAGCCGTTTTCACATTGAGAATTCGTTCAGCAATGTATTGTTAGGGTTACCAATGTTTTATGACCGGAAATAAAAGAGGAGTTTGCAAAAATAAGCCTGTCAAGACAGGCATACGATAAAACGTATCCTTATAGACAACGTTGAAAATCATATGCTATTGCGTACAATTTATATAAACCCATCTGTCAGCTCATTTCACTTTCACTCCCTGTATCTCAAAAAATGTCTCTGAGACACTGAAGCAATGAAGACACTGGGGCTTTGTACATGTGGAATACGGCATTTGACAATAATTTGACAAAAGAAAAAATGACTTTTAGTATAGTTTGTCCAAACGAGGTATAACATGTAACAGCCGTTTATTGATATGGGAATCGTGATGCAAAATACAAATAATTAAAATGTTCACACAAGTTTTTTTTTATAACTCTTGCTTTTTACAAGCTTTACTCGGAACATAGAACAATTGCAACAGCGTCTTTAAAAAACATAAAATAACATTTCTGGTTATCAGTGAAACTCATGTTTAATTTGAATATTTACCTTCCTATACTAACCAATGCTTTGCGTGGAAATGCTTGGATGGATATCCGATAACGATTGAAAACAGCGTGGCCAAAACGAAAAAATAGGGATTTTAAACAATCTGTGGGAAATTATAGAAAGCGTAGCTTTGAAAGAATTACCATTTTGTGACGTCAAATCTTTTGACAATAATATAAACAAATTACCGTTCCAGTTGGAAATACCATCCAGTAGGGAATACTGCAATACTTTCAGCAGTAAAATATCATCTTTGGCTGCAATGTACCGACACGATTCTTGCGAAATGACCATGATATCTGCTTGTCAGGCTCCCTAACAATCAAATACGAATCGGAGGATTGATTGGCAGACTGCGGCGAATTATCAAAACACGACAAACAAATGACTCTCAAATTTAAGTACTTGGTAGTGCGCATCAGCTTATTTTAGAACGGTATAATATCATCCACTGGCGAATTGTTTTAGTTTTTGATGCATTTAAATTCTGTTCACTTCAGGTTGGCTAGACAAAGGAAAACCGAAAGAAAATATTAAAGCAACAGTCAGACATGGGGTCTCAAAGTAAACGATACGCCGTAACTGTCTCTTCAGTCGGAGCGGCGCAAATTCTTCCTAGATATTGCGACATCTCAACGAGTCAGGCGAAGGTCGGAGAAAAACCAAAATCGTAAAAGTAATAAACTTACTTGAGACACCTCAATATTTAAATACAGATTATTTAAAAGTGATTAACAAAAAACATAATAGAAAATATCATCATCGACAAAAATTTATCAAATCTCACGGTATAATAAGTCAATTATTTCATTTCATAAATGTCTCCAATTTATTCATTACTACAGTATTAGAAATGAAATATCGTCAATACGTACAAATATGAGACAGTGTATCTTAAGATAGTTGTTATAGATTGTCTTTGTTGTTTCGAATAGACAGGCTGGAACGTTAGACCAGGGTCGTCCAACCCGTGGCCCGCGGAAGCATTTCGAGTGGCCCGCGCTGTATTTTTTAGAATTGAATAAAAAAAATTACGTATAACTATTATTCGAGCGATTTAGTATGAAAAGATGTGAACAAGCGAGTTGTTTATTTTCCTTAAATGCGCTCTGCCATCCCTTTCAAACTAGACATGAGTGTCATTGAATCGAACCGAAACCAAATGGGAGGAGATATCGATATATAATGCTGCCGTAGTTGCTACGTACATACATCATACATAAAAGTGAGCTACTTTGTGGCAGAAATATTCGTAAAACAATCGAAGCCGTTTTCACATTGAGAAATCGTTTAGCAAAGAGGCGTTTGCAAAAATAAGCCTGTCAAGACAGACGATTCTCGTCGTGTTGAAGAGCTTAGGAATTCAATAACAAAAACTTTAATTGCAAAAGCGGGAAAGTTTTCATCGTATTTCTTGACGCCTTACGGAAGCGCTGACATCAAGTCTACTGCTCGTCATGCGGGGAGTTAATGATGATTTTGAAATTAGCGAAGAGCTCGCGGCCATTGTCCCAATTAAGGGCACTTATTTGTTGGGAGCTGTGATGAAAACGATCAAGCGTCTTGGCTTTTCTTTGGCCAAACTTTCGGGAATAACCACTGATGGCGCTCCATTAATGGCTAGGAAACAACAGTTGTATTGTTCCAATAATTGTGGAAGTTTGGCGTGAGGCTATTGTTGCTTTCAGTGTAGCAAAACTAAAACATAACTACCATGTTAAGTGGTCCGCGCACGTATTAGTAAAGTGCACGAGGCCCTTCGGCCAAAAAGGTTGGACGACCCTGTATTAGTTATTACCACAACAAAAAGTAAGTATTGCTTGGGTTAATGCGCGCTTTTAGTGTATTTTTTGAAAGGATATTAAAGAACGAGGCGGTAAACTCCTCTCAAATACAAGTCCAACAAAGTTTATAATAAATGAATTTTCAGCCTACTGTTAATCGGAGGAGAAGCTTTAAAAACAATGATGATGTACAAGTGATGTACATACAATCAATGATGTACAATCAAGTAATGAAATCTAAAAAATTGGTACCTTGGCAACTTCAAACCTGTTTCACTTTCCTCTTGCTTTCTTCCTGGATCTATTTTTTTTTCGCTTGCCGGCTTCCTTACTTAACCTTTCCGCTTCGCCGGCTTCTCTATTTTCCTTTCCTGCTTGCTCACTCATGGAGTGTGTGAGCTCACTGATCAACAATCAATGATGTACAATCAAGTAATGAAATCTAAAATATTAGTACCTTGGCAACTCAAACCTATGATGTACAATCAAGTAATGAAATCTAAAAAATTGGTACCTTGGCAACTTCAAACCTGTTTCACTTTCCTCTTGCTTTCTTCCTGGATCTA